ACTGAACTGATTGGAGGTGAACTGAGCTGAAATAAATATTTTATGAGAGAGGGAAATTAGGAGTTGAAATGAACTAAACTGAACTGATTGGAGCTGAACTGAATTGAAATTAAGTAAATATGAACATACCCTTAGTACAGTACAATATAATTGTATCACCCCGGCTTACTTTACCCTAATTTTACCAAGTATGACTTTATTATAGTTACAGAATAACATAAGTAAATTATATACTAAGGGCCTTTTCTCATTAATTGAACTCAACTGAACTGAATTGAGCTGAATTGAACTGAACTGAATTGAACTGAACTGAATTTCAACATAAGTAATACCAAGTACATTATTTGTGTTGAAGCATATTGATGAGTGTTTTCCATTGAGAAAAGAGGAAATTTAGTTCCATTTTACAACATAGAGGAGTTACTCTTACTATCACCCAATGACACAAATTATTCGTGCATGACTCTGATACCATGTCAAAAATAGAGAATAGGGAGATTAGTGTTTTGTGTTTTGTATTACGATATGCACAATATATTAGGGCTTATACATTGGCCCATTAATTATACACGATACAAGGCTTAACAAAGAAGTTTATCGATTTATTTACTTTATATAATTATTGGTAGGAAACTCTAAACAATCTAATTTATACTCCGTATTAAATTATTAAATATTATAGATGATATAAAATGGGCTAATAGGCAACCCAGATGAGGAAGAGGATAATTTGGTTCACAAAAAACAAGGTTAAAGTAGATTCCATATTAAAACCAATTTGTAATACTCCCAACATAATAATTTATGACTAATGAAAATGTGAATAAAATTTTCTCAAAAAAATAAAAATAAAATTGTCCCATCCATAACGATTTATTAGAAGAATGAATGTGAACATGAATGCAAAATGAAAGACAACTTAATGGCTACGACTTGGCGTCGCACCGCGTAGAATCGGTAGATACACTGGTGAGATTCCACTCTAATTTGGTGACGGCTTCAAACGTGGCACCCACGAAACCTCAACTTTTACTATACTTCTTTTGCATTACCTTTTTGCTGACTTGGCTCGCTTACAATCCTAGATTATTAGGATTATTATTTTCTTTAGTATTTCAATTGTAATAAAATTATTTAACAACGAAGTTTCTATGTTGCAAATAATACCCTACCAATACATAGTACTACGTACCATGCAACTCTTGTTTTTATTCTCCAACTCTTTCTACTTTAGGCTATATTTCTATTAAGTTTCTGTAAAGTACAATGAATAACTTATTAATAATGTGTGCCATTGAAACTTACTTAAAGTTTTTGGCAAAGATGGATCCGAAAACTTTGTAAAGGGTGGGCCGTATTAACTATTTTATCTGTGTTTTTACTTGGCTTGTTTCTTTTATCATGCTTGTCAATGCAAAACAATTAATAGCTTTAAATCTCTATAAGGAAAATTATAAAAGTTGGAGTACTATATATTACTTATAAAAGTTATATAATACTAGTACTTATGAGACGAATTTAAAAAGATCTCACACGAATAAATTTTTCCTTACTTATTATTTACAAAAGATGATCAAAGAAAAAAAGACACTACAAGAAAATAACCTTTTCGTAGCGATTATTTTAACTTTTAGTATGTAATTGCAACAAAAAGCTTTCCCAACGAATGGTCAAAAAAACATGCGTATGATCTTTACAAGATTCGAACATGCAACCTCAAACTCTTATATTAAATGTTTCACCAATAAGCTATGACATATTTTATGTATTCTTTGTCAAACAATATTTATATATCTAGTGTTGAAAAGGCTTTTCGTATCGATTTTTAGGATTTAGTGGCGATTGTAAATGATACGATTTCTCAAAATTATATAAATGTGTAAAAATAGTGTGGGTATGTATTATTATGCTTTCCGTATCGATTTTATATGGGAAAACCATGACGATTATAAAAATGATACGACATCCTTAATTATTTCACAAACATACTTGCATATTGTAGCGCGCGAATGAACAATCGCTACGAAATAATTGCTACGAAAAGTGATTTTTCTTGTAGTGAGAATGAAGGTAACAATAAGAATTATTTAAGTTGTGAGATTTGAATGAACCCCCTTTACCTAAGGCAGTAGATGGGTATGATTGACAAAAAGCAAGAACCAATGCAACTCAACTAATTTTTCTTATGCTTAACAAATGCATTAACTTAATACTCGAATATAAAACTACTACAAATTTTTTGGGAGGGGAAATCCGGCTAATGCTGGTTAGCTAATTGAATCACAAGAGGAGCTAGTTATTTTCATTTAGGTACATAACAAGTTTTTGCTTTATCTTACTCAGTACGAAGTATTAATTAAGGGCTTGTTCTCATTGACTGAACTCAGCTGAACTGAACTGAGTTGAACTGAACTGAACTGAACTGAACTGAACTGAAATGAATATTTTATAAGAGAAGGAAATTAGGAGCTGAACTGAACTGAACTAAATTTCAACGTAAGAGAACATACCCTAAATTTGATATTTATAAATAAGTATTTAGCTTGTTATATTTATTTGGATAAGGTTAAAATAAGTCAGAATATATAAATTGACATAGTTCAAGTATAATTGTAAAAGTAAGATTCTAACAAACCAAGGAGTTTTATAAAAATACATAAATTCTCTTTAACTTCAAAGAATAACTTTTCAAAGTATACATAGTTGAATAATATAAGACTATCATACACAAAATCTAGCTTGTTATATTTATTTGGAGAGCATAAGTGTGAATTTAAAGAAAGACAAATATGAGAAGTTTCTTGACAATAACTTGCCGGCCAATCCGCAGTTTCTTACAATCATCAAATTGTCAAGGTATCTAGTTCGGTTTCGTGGGGCTAATGAAATTTCGAGGAAAATCAACATCAATAGCTCTAATTTGAGATTTTTAATATTGAAAATTTAAAACTTTGACTTAGCTTACTTGCTATGCAACCTGGATTTGAAACATGTTTTAATTTATTTGTACACATCTAGCTTTTAGAGAAATGGTAAACCTTGGTCAGCTACATAATATAATAGTGATACAAGTTTGTCATGCTATCATCATAAACAAACCTATAGTTCGTAATAAACCAATTGGGTATGCATGCAGATTATTGTAGAATTTTAATTAATGAAGGGGAAAAACACGTACAATAAGGTGCAAATAAAATTTGAAATGTATTATTACATTTGGCTAAGGGAAATAATAATTATGAAAATAGTACACAACATATATACATTTGAGTCATTTGACATGTGTAATTATATATACAACTAATAAGTGAATGCAAATAAATATACACAAGTTTTGAGGTAATCTTATTATAAACTTAAGTGTGTACTTAAAGGATGATCAATAAATCATATCTACAACAACCATTTACATGCATTCTCATGTGTATTGTGTCGGGTGTGAATCGTGAGATGTGCACGAAACAATTGTTATACACACGACATATGACATTTGCGTGCATGTCTCGTGAGATTATGATTGCAGAACGAACATGACAGTTGTTATACACATTACAGCTGTCGTAAACACATGCAATACATGTATCGCCGGATTGTATGTACAATACACACAAAGAAAAGATAAAAGCGGACATGAGACGATAACACAAGCAATCGATCAATCACATAAGAAATACCCTTTATGGTTATATCAATCTATAATCTTTAGTCACATAAATGACACAATAGTTAATATGAGATCTAGATTAGATTAGCGTAGTAATGATGTCATCATATGTCTCATCAAAATTAACACACAATAAAATCTTTTTAATTAAGGGGCTAATAGTATACAGATTAACAGGAAACACAAAAAAGTGAGCGAGAGAATGAACGTAGTACAAATCAAGGGCGGGGGCTAAGGTAAGTGAGAGTTGACTAGTGACTACGCGCTTAGCTTCTACGTGGGGCACGTAAATTTCGTGGCGAATGTATGTAATGTAATGTGAATGGATGACGTCATAGTAGGCTACAAACCGTGTAAAATCCAATAGCTTCTGGAATACAGTACTTAATTAACTAATTAAGGAATAATTAATAATAATATTATTAAAAATTTAATATGTGGATAATTATAATATTTAATTTAAATAATAAATGAAGTAGTAGTAGTAGTAGCAAGTAAGACGTACGACTTAGCTTGATCCCGATTGGGCTGCCGCTGATGACTCTGTGTTGTGATTGGTCATACAATTTACGCCACCTAATATTTGCAATTTGCCGTACAATCACGGATTATCTTATGTAATCACATATCTCACTATTACAATGTAATTAATCTTTTCTCTTTTCTAAACTGCTTGCTTTAGTTGATCAGTTCTAGATGAGCTAGATAAGATAATACTAGTCCAATTCTATGACCTTATTCACCTTGTTGATATTGAATAGATATTTTTTGACTTATAAATTTATCTACTTAAATAAATAAATAAATAATAAAAAATATATTTATGTTTTGTCTTTTCATATACTACGTACTTCATAACATTTTAAATCTACTACGAAGTACGGAGTATATGCTTGTGTCTTCTAACTTTATCTTCATCAAATTAAAGTCAGTGATAATTTTAAAATTTTTTTATTTAAACAAATGTGTAATTAAAGTTATTAATGATCAAACTATCTATATATCTTATCCATTGATTTTTAATTAAATAATAATAATAATAATAATGAAATAAATAGTAGTGACTAGGAAAAAAAAACTAGTAAAATTTTAAATTAGCAATCAAATTTAGTACCGACTTGGAGATTAGTCACATGATAATCCAAAACCTAACAAAAGTCTACTTCTCCAAATCTTCCTACTCGTATAATATTAACTTAACGTCCAAGTCAAAAAGGGTATACCCGTAATTTCACACCTCAGACAAAACACTCTTTCCTTCTCTCAACACTCCACACACCACAAAGTCGGTTAATTCAGCTGGCACCTCACAGCCGCACTCTATATATACCAGCATCCTTGCCCACCAATTTACTTCATTACTTTGCTTACTTCTTCACAATCACTACTACTTGTATTCTCTCTCTAAAAATCTTTACTCTCTTTTTCTCTCTCTAAAATTCTAAAACCTTATTTTCTCTCTCTAAAATTCCTAAATCTAAAACGTGATGAACACGATAACAATGGTTAACAGAGGCGGCGCCGGAGAAATTGAGACTTCTGCCATGGCTAACTGTCTCATGCTTCTTTCTGCTCATTCCGCCGCCGTCAATTCCGTCGGAGGTGGAAATTCCGATAACGAAAACGGCGTTGGACGTATGTTCGCTTGTAAGACGTGTGATCGTAAGTTTTCGTCGTTTCAAGCGTTAGGAGGTCACCGTGCGAGTCACAAGAAGATTAAATCGCCGAATTCCGGTGATTTTTCCGATGATATGACGAGTTTTCCGGCGAAACCGAAGGCTCACTCGTGTAAGATTTGTGGTGTTGAGTTTCCTACTGGTCAAGCTCTCGGCGGTCACATGAGACGGCACAGAGAAACCCTATCTGCCGTCGGAGGTGGTTCTGCGGCGGCGGCGGCTGCGTTGAGTAGTGTGACTACCGAGGGTAGTATTGGAAATAGTGACGGAAACAATGGCGGTGAGAAGAAGAGGAAGATTAATAACAACGACGTCGTATCGGAGTTTCCAGTAATGATGAAATCAGGTAGTTGTAAGAGAGTTTGCTTGGATTTGGATTTGAATTTATGGAAGAAAAAAAAAGAAAATGTTGCTGCTGTTATTAACAACGATGATTATGAAATTGAAGAAGGTGAGATTGTTGAACAACATGACGAAAAATCTGGTGATGTGAAGAATAACGTTGAAGAAGAAAAAGATTTTCTGAAGCTGGAATTAAGACAGCCAATTAACTGCTGGTGATTGAGTTTGATTATGAAATCTTTGATTTAATTAGTGCTTAATTCGTTTTTATTAGATTAATTTTTCTGGTGTACAGATCATAATATTAGACCAGTTTTAATTAGGGGAAAATATTACGGAGTACAATATTTTTAGAATATAGTATGGTGAAAATTAGAGTTTTCGATTTTGTTATATGTTTACGTACACAGTACAGTTAGGCAATTATTATTTTATATTTTAATTCATGGGTTATTCTTTGATTTCTATGATATGTTTATTTTGTCAAAATTTGATTAATTAATTAATTTAATTACTTGTTGAATGCAATTGATTAGTTGTCTAGTATAGTAGTATAGGCCGGTGTATGAAATTTGCAAGGTAACGACACCTTTGCTTAATTAGACTAATTTTTAGCCTTTTAGGCCAGGTATTGTTGGTTTTCTAATCCAACCCTCGAATTTATATTCTTCTATGATCAAATTAACTTAGGGCCTATTCTCATATGTTTATTTTCAGTTCAGTTCAACTCCTAATTTCCTTCTCTTATAAAATATTCAATTCAGTTCAGCTGAGTTCAGTCAATGAGAATAGGCCCTTAATCGAGTAATCAATTACCCGATTAATACGCTATAAGGTTAAAACCCAAAACTTGTACCTAATTCGATTAATAAATCAGTAAAGATACGTGAGTACATACTCAATTAAGTGAGTATCTTGATTTGATTAGTAAGGATACGTGAGTACATATCAGATTAAAAGAGTATATGATTAAGTGAGTATATGATTCAATCAGTGAGGATACATGAGAACATAATATTCGATTAAGTGTTTATATCGGATACGTGAGAACATAATATTTGATTAAGTGAGTATATATGATTCAATCACTGAGGATACGTGAGTACATACTTGATTAAGTGAGTATATATTATTCAATCACCGAGGATAAGTGAGTACATACTTGATTAAGTGAGTATCTGATTCAATCAGTAAGGATATGTGAGTACATATCGGATTAAATGAGTATCTGATTCAATCAGTGAGGATACGTGATTACATATTCGATTAAGTGGTATGCTATGTATTCTTGATTCGCTCGATCATTCAGTGTAGAAAATTAAATTAATGAATAGATCAATGCATATTGTATAATTGGACTTGAAAGAAGTATATACTTGTTCAAACATAAAAGTCCAAATTAAAATACATACGGAGTACATGTTCCGTTAGGTTAAAAAATTGAAAATTTGAGTACACATACATGACTAGGTTAGCATTTTTTTTTTAATATTTTTTATTTTAGATTCATTACGTATGAAGTACTCCCAATTAGTAGATTTTTTTTGCTATTAGACACGTTTGAAAGATTGTAGAGTATCTTGGTATGTTAAAAAATAAAATTCATAAAGTTTTACTGGAGATAAATGGCAAATTTGATGGAAAATTTTTCCAAAATTCTTAAGCTTGAAAATTTTAGGCAGCGCCAATTGACTCCACAGGTTACAAATTACGGAAATACGGAGTATAACTTGGTCAAAAATTATGTTTTATCCAATATTCAATAATAAAATCTGAGTACCAAATACAATCGTATGCTACGGAGTTCATTCGCTTGTATGTTGAATGTTCTGAATCAAGGAAAATTGTACGACCTCATTCACATCACCTTATTTTTGCTGAAATGCTGGTCAACCAAATTAGTCTAAAAAAAATAAATAGCCAACTTCATTATATTCATATTATCAACATGTCCATTTGTACTGTCATTCCTCTTAATTCTGAATTTGGAATGCTAAGTGTATCTGCAATCCGTAATTGCTGCGAAAAATACGGGTAACAAGTTTATTTTCCTTTGTTATGCCAAAAAAAATGAATTGCAATTAATAAAGTATAATAACTCCATAACTGTTTTCAAAAAAAAAAAAAAAAAAAAGTATACTCTATAACTCGAACAAGTAGGATATATATGAATTATCGAACATAAAAGAAAATTAACATGAATTACATAAGAATCATGATGGTACATAATTTGATGAGAATTACGAGTACCTCAAATTCATTAAAAGATAGAATTGTCTCAAAACAAAAACAATAATATGAAGAATTAGGATGGTCGAGGAGAAAAAAGATTACATGGATATGGACGCATCCCCACCTGCTGATTATTATTCCTCTCACCCTCTCGATTGACCATAACTACACCATTAGAATTATTGGACTCGTTTCGGACCGATTTAGGCTCCTTAGGGTTCGAACCAAAGGCGTCGTAGAATTCTTCTTTATTGAGTATCTAAGAAGGAAATTAAACACATAAAAACATGGTTCCATATTAATATCATTGATAGATTAAAAACAATTTTTTTTTTTTTTTTTTAATAATAGAAATAAAAACTGCATAATGGTCTTACATTGTAGGAGAAGAACGAAGAATTATAAGAATTTTGAGGTATTATCTCCTGCAAACGACGTCGTATTTCAAGGAACCTGGCTTGCTCTGCCTCCATCACTCTTTGTTGTAGAGTCTTTAGTATTTCCATTGTAAAATTCATCCAAGAGTTTGGCTTATAAAATTAAAACCTTTTATAGGATATATATGTGTAGAAAATATGTAAATATTATATTTATGTTAATTGGTTAGTGCTAACTATATAGATTTTATCTTCCTCTTTTTCCAATTAAGATATAATTTCTACAAAATATTTAATTAACATTTTCATCATATTATTATCAATTGGAATAACTTTAAGAAAGTTCATGCATATCTCATATGTATACAAATCTTAGAGCTTTACCAAAATATTACTTAAATCCAAAAAACATCAGGCAAGGAGATACTCTATAATATTTAATTTGGTAAGTAGAATCAATTTACATTCCTACTGAATCCACACTTCTTAATGGTCACATTGTCATGTGATGGTGATTTGTAAGGCTTGGAAATTTTACAATGTTTGTCAATTACCGGAAAAAAAAAAAAAAAAAAAATAATAATAATAATAATAATAATAATAATAATAATAATAATAATTAGGTGGATATATAATAAATTTTGTACATTACCATGGTGTAAACTATGGAGTTCAATTATACTTCAAATTTTTGTTTGGATAATTTAATTTCACAAATCTCCTATTACTTTTTACCACTTACTAAAATTTTACAATATATCATAGTACGTAACCAATTAGATGTTGGTGTAGTGGTGATTAGGACTATACTTGGTAGGGAGGACTCATATTCGATCCCCACAATAATAATCGGGAGAGGACTGGAATCTAACCACCTAGAACTGATTCTCAAATCCGAATTAGCCCTAAGGATGAACAGGGTGGATGATAAGACATCAAGTTTTGAATGGGCTAGGTTGTAATTGGATTGGGTAGAAATAAGTTGGGCTGGAAGTGGGTTTAGTCGGGTTAAAGTGAATTCAAGTTCATATTATTCACTCATATTGCGGAGTACTAAATGTATTATACATCAGTGTCCTATCGGTTCTACATGATCTTATACGACAACAGTACGTATTTATAATAAATATGTACCATAATGTTCTAAATGCAAACTAAAGATATCCCCAAAAAAATTAGAAAATATAGTATCCCCAAAAAATTAAAAAATATAGTATCATACTATCATGCTAATCAGTTGTGAATATAGGCATAAAGAAAAATTACTCCTGTTATGATGGATTCTTGACCAGCATTATCACATATCTGAAGCTTAATCTGCTAGCACTCAAGCTCTGTGTTCTGAATTTTAATATCGATACAGCACAACTGTTAGATATATTAGATGTTCACAATGAATTCTTAAGACCACCTTCTGTTCCCAATCCTCCAATCCACGCAAGTATAATCATATAAGGCATCTACACAAGTCTCGTAATAGTGATGGTAAACTCAACAAAAAAAGCTACTGCGGGAACATCCTTTTCTGATGAGAGTTTACCTGCCTGACTGAAAGAAGTAGGATTCTTTGGCGCAGTTGAGGCTTTCCTTGCCCACTGACCAGTCGTTCCATATATAAAGTACTTGGCCTATCCAATAGCTGTGATGGAACTCGCGGTGAGGGAACCATTTAGAGAATCACGAGACAAGGCAAATCTTACCAATAACAACAGATGTACATATATGAGCTAAGCAAAATCCATGTGCATCTATATGACAATAAAAGCCATATCTTACCAGAATTCATTGCAAGAACATTCACCATTCTTGAAATGGTGAAAACGATTCCTATCCCTCACAATAATTTCGCGATCAAAAGCCTTGGAAATGAGTTTACTTGCTTGGTGACAATCTCTACAAACTCTCAAGTTCTTGGTGATGCGAATGGTTTGCCCTGGTTTAGTCTTCAGTAGCCCAAATGCTATGGCAAGCTTTTCACTATGATGATTTAAAGGGTTCTCCTTTTCCTCTTCATCAATATCTTGCAATACTCCATCCGTGTCAGGCACATAACCTAGGCTTTTTATTCTCTCAAGCACTTCATCAAGTTTAGAGTATATCTCCCTGCTTTCAGGGTGAGCCCTTCCCCCTGCAATAAATTCGCTGACCATGCCTTCCATTTCGATCACTGAAAAACCTGGAGCCTTTTTCACCCCCCTATCATTCATTAACCTCCTGATCTTAGCAACATCATCCCATTTGCCTGCAGTTGCATAGAGGTTGGCTAATAGAACATATCGACCACTGTTATTAGGATCTAGTTCAATCAATCTCTTCCCAAATTTCTCTCCTAGCTCGAAGTTTCCATGGATCTTACAAGCTCCAACAAGGGCACCCAACACCCCAGCATCAGCTTCCATGGGCATCTCTTCTTCAACAAGCTTTCTGGCCTCCTCCAGCAATCCTGCTCTACCAAATAAATCAACCATGCAACCATAGTGCTCCATTCTTGGTTCGAGTCCATGAACTTCAGTCATATGCTTGAAGTAATGGCGTCCTGTTTCAACCAATCCCGAATGAGCACAAGCACTGAGAACGTTCAAGAAAGTGATGTTATCAGGAGCAGCTGCTTCCCTCTCCATAGCCTTGAAAATCTCTATAGCTACTTCTCCTCTTCCATGCATTGCAAAACCACCAATCATACAGTTCCATGTAGAAATCCCCTTTGAAGGCAGCTCATTGAAAACTTCAAAAGCCTTTTCCAGGCACCCACACTTGCAGTACATGTCGATAATTGTCGTTGCAAGTTTTGTATCCATCTTTATGTCATTCTTCTTGATATATCCATGAATCCACTCTCCTTGCTCCAGAGCTCCTAGCTTTGTACAAGCAGACAGCATACTAGCTATTACATACCTATCTAATTCTACATTTTCGGTCCTCATTTCATTGAACAAAGCAAACGCCTCGTGGAAACGATTATGCTGCACATATGCAGCTATCATTGCATTCCAAGTAGCTGAATTTCTATTAGGCATTGACCTAAACACATCATAAGCATCATTTACAAGACCCAATTGTGAGTACCCACTAATCAAGGTAGTCCACGAGACAACATCTCTTCGTGGCATCTTATCAAAAACCCGACGAGCTTCCTCTAATAACCCAAAACTCACATACATATAAAGCAAATTGTTCTGTGAAAACCCATCATTCAAAAACCCAAACTTGACAACATGGGCATGAATTTGCTTGCCTTCTACAACCCAATTATCAATGCAACAAGCTCTAACAAGAGAAGGGAATGTAAAGTTGTTAGGAAAAACAGAGTCCTGCAACATTCGCAAGTACAAAATCAAGCATTCCCTAGCCAAATAACATTGCAAATAACCCCTGATTAAGGTGTTGTATATAAAAGCATCTGGTTGGGGCATTTTATCAAACAGTTGGTGGGCATAAACCAAATCACCAGATTTCGACAAAGCACAAAACTTGATAGCTCTACCCATTACATCGTTGTCAGATGAAAGGCCAAGACGGATGATTTGGGAGTGAAGTTGCTTCAATTCTGCCATGGACGAGCATTTATCTAAGCGTTTAGCTGGGTTTGGGTTACTGGGTGGAGCAGCAGCAACAAGTGCAGAAGATATGGCAACAGATATCATCTCTTGATTTTCTTTATTTATGCATTACAATTGAAATTGTAAGATTTAATAAATTGTACTAGTAACAACTAACAATTCAGTGAAGTTTCATAACATAATCAAACAATACTGGTACAAGTACCAGTATGTCCTAAAACCTTTGCCAAATAAATAAATAAATAAATAAAAGACTCAAGTACGTCGTAGTACTTTATTGTTTCATTTTAGTTGTCACGTTTTGACTTCTATCATTATTTACATAAGTAACTTTGACTAATTTAAAGTTATGCATTGATAATTATGGGGTTTGTTCTCTTCAACTTAATTTTAGTCACTTTAGCGCCAATCAGTTCAGTTCCTAATTTTCTTCTCTCATAAACAATTAATTTCACCTTTATTCAGTTTAGTTCAGCTTCAAATAGTTCACTTTAGTAAATCAAGACATACCCTACATCCAAATAAATGGGTATACTAATGTATAGTAAAACAGAAGAAGTAAAGTATAAATGGCTGAAAACCAAAATTGTCAGGGCAAGCTAGCTAAGGAGTTCTAAACTCCAAACTTCTTGTGTAACCTTTTTTTATATTCTTACATCCAAAATTTTAGAACTAGCAAAGAAAAGAATTCATTACCCCTATAACTATAACAAAAATCTCTTGCATCGCCACTTTTCATGTTTCACCTTTCTTAGAATTTTTTTTAGCTTATTTAATCCAATAAATACTACGCATTTTTTTTCATTAAATTTACAGATCTTACCCTCTACTCAACTAGTGTATGATCAACCTTTTTTTTTTTTTTTTTTTTTTTTACTTTTTCTCTCGCATCAACAATCCCTCCAACCTTGTGATGGCAATTGCTTGGCTAATTAGTCCTTAAATCAATTTCAACTTCGAATATGGAAAACCTTCTGTAGAAACATAATTCCCAACTCAAAACACTAATGATTTGCAAAGCTAATCTTAAAAGAAAAAAAAAAAAATTGTAAGAATGATTGGTAATTTTCAAAGCTATCATTGAATAGAGGCTTTGTATCAATGTATGGCTAAAACAGGATTTAATTAGACAAGCAAATGAAAAAATAAAAAAGAAAAGGGGAAAAAAATGTCACAGCCTCACAGGAACAACTATACTAGTTGATTAAAAACTATCTTTGGCACACTAAAACAGGTTTAAGGAAAGAATGATGGTAACAAATATTACAAGCATCCATCACATTGTCATAACAATCAGATTCATCTGTTTTGCACACATAATTCCACTGAACATGTTGCCTTGTCCAATCAACTGCCGGCACCTTAAGAACCGCAGCAGGCTGATTTAGCAGCTGCTTGGCTGCCTGATTGGTCGGCTGGTTTAATCGTAATTGACGGTTGAGCCTGCAATTAACATTGCATACGTACATAAAACAACCAGCAATGAAACCAAAAAAAATGAAAATTTCTGTAAGATGCAGAATCCTACCTCTTGCCTTGTATCAGAATCTGCAAGCCTTTGCTTAATGTCTCTCGCTATGGAAAAGAAAACTTCCTCCACATTTAAATTCGTCTTTGCACTCTGCAAGGATTATAATACTCGTTTAAAAAAAACCAACTAATAATACCACGATACAAAGCTATGTAAAGCACATCCCAAGCCATTTACTTACAGTTTCGAAGAACTTAATCCCATACTCATCAGCTAAAGCCTGTCCCTTGGCTGTCGGCACAGCCTGAAGAAATGTAAAAGGAAATATAATTGATACAGAGAAACCTGAAAGGCTTGTTTTGTAGGCCAAGCAGTCATAACTAAAATGCAAGTCTTGCAAGTTGAACTCCAAAAGCCTAAAATATTCCTTACCCTTTTACTCTCATCCATGTCAGCCTTATTCCCTACCAGAATCTTGTTCACATTATCAGAAGCATGCTGCTCAATGTTGCGTATCCAGTTTCTAATATCTGAAAAAAGAAGCAGCTTAACTTCAAAGGGAAAAGTTCATCTCTAGTCAAATGAATAAACATGGACTCAGCCAATAATAGCACCAGCTAGTAACATGGACAGATTTCTAACAACATAAGAAAAGGCCTTACAGAATGCAATGATCTCAGAGAGCCAAGGTATATTGCTAAAATAAAAAAAAATGAAAAAGAGAGAGAGAGAGAGAAGAGAATATATTACTGTTAAATGATGACTCGTCAGTTACATCATAAACCAACAGAATACCCATGGCTCCACGGTAATAAGCTGAAATTGGCAAAAACAAAGGTCAAGTCACTGGTAAACACAAGTAGTTTTTAGATATTCTCCCTCCGTCCCATAATATAGTTCATGTTTTCCCATAATATAGGCCAAAATGTTGTTCCTATTTCTACTTTTGGATAATATGTAAATACCATTATACCCTCACTTTTTTTAACTTCATTCATATTACTTCCTACATTATCCTTAAACTTTGCACATGCCTTGTACTTTTCTCCACTTTCTCTCTAACTTTTGTCTATAATTGTACTTTTCACTTTTATTAACGTACTTCATCCACTCATAGTCTTAAATACCGTGAAAAAACACAAAGAGGAACTATATTGTGGGACGAAGGGAGTATATATATACTACTATTATCAGAAAACATTTAGATTTACATGTATGCGCAGAAGACCAATTTCCTTAAAATGGCCAACACAATAGTATTCATTTGTTACGCATACAAACAAATATTTAACCACATATGCAAAACTGAACCATTACCCGTTGTGATAGTCCTGAACCGCTCCTGACCAGCAGTATCCCATATCTGAAGTTTGATTCGCTTGCCATCAAGCTCTATGGTCCGAATCTTGAAATCAATACTGCACAAAGAAATGCACAGTATAGAAAACTGAAGAGTCTGTACAAATTCTTATCTGTCAAATCAGCAATAATTAACCCCATGAACCTAAGTAATAAAATACCCAATGGTTGTGATAAAACTTGTTGTGAAGGAACCATCAGAGAACCGCAAGAGGAGGCAACTCTTACCCACACCTGCATATGTGATTGGCATGGTGAAAACACATCCACGATACTAAAAAGGTATAACATTTATTACAAATTTGACAGCATTTCAACAGTTACAAAGCAGAATAACTAAGCAAGGAATATAACTTCTAAGCATTTCACTGTAAATGATGTAGAGCAGAGAAAAATAATGAATTCAAAGCCATGCCAATAAGAGTATAAGACTATCATATATTCATATGCTTCAGAACTCTTAAAATAATTACTATACACTAATAGAATCTATTGCATATTGTCGCACAATAAAGGCTCCAGAGATCAAGGTGCCATGCCATTACTACTAGTGTTGATTTATAAGGCACTGTTAGAAATGTGAACCTTGGCTCAAGGTGCCAACTGCAAACCCAGAGTTGTCATTATAAACATGCTACACAAGGTTAATCATGCAGATATAACAAATCGCAGCAAAGGTTTAGAATCAGCATCAATCCTACTTGAAAGACAGTCTATTTCCTCTTTCTCTTCCATATCTCACAATCAAATGGCGCCTGAATCAAAGCACTACAGGTATACATGTTGGTCATTGGATGTTCCTTTCACATATGAAATGCAGGATCCAAAGACTAACTGGAGTGATGAGCTGAATATTAAGAATTCGTCATAATAAACACGAAACAGATAATTAGTCATCTTCAAATTGAACTAAGGCCATCTGATTTTATCAATTTATTCATCTTCTAATTGAAATTTCTCCTATTTCAACTACAACAATCCTCAAATCATCATTCATTCCACAATCATCAAAAATCATGCAAATATCTACTAGAATATGGCAACATAATTTGGCACTCATTTTCACACATTTTTTTCACAATCGCACACCAGATCCATCAAAACACACACAATGCCACAAATATCATGAATCAACGAATTCGATAACAAACTCAGAAACAGTCAAAGATCTAAAAAAAAAAAAACACATTTTCAATCAAACAACAAATACATTACCACTGTCGCCGATTAAAAGGAGTTTGATGAGATAATCATAATCAGCGCGAGCTCTCACAGGTGGAGCAGCCATTAATTAAACACCTCCAGAAACCCTAGAAAAACTTTCAATCAAATATTCTCCTGCAATTGAAATCCAAAAAACAACAAATTTAAAATTAAAATCGAATCGAAAAAATTAAATTAAATCGACAAAAACAACAAAAAATCGAAGAAAATTAACTAGATCAGAGAGAAAATGTGAGACATAAAGCATGGATCGGCCATGAAAATGTGATTGATTGAAGAGAGAAATTAATTTGGAGAGAGAAAATTACCAAAAGAAAAAAAAAAAAAAACTTAGATGAATTAATAATAGTTGAAAAATGAGCTTAAAAATTTCTGAAGATGATCCTCTCTTAAATTCCTGGTTTGTCAAAATCGGCGATTTGGTTCGGAGATAAAAGAGTGGAGAGAGAATAGAAGGAAGTTGAGATGAACCGGCCCTCTTTTATTATTAGGAAAGATTATTTTTTGGTGCTCCTCAATTGAATCAATGAATGGAGCATTGCTAACCGATTAGGTGGCACTTCGGGTAATTGTGTTTTTTTTTTTTTTTGGTATCAAAATTAGGATAAATATAAAAATTATTGAGATCAATTATTTTTAAAAAATATTACTCCAAGGTATGACATTATGAGTAGACAAGTGGATAAAATTGTGATTCAATTTGCTAGTTATAAACTTATAATATAATATTGTAGTATGATTTGTCTACTCATACCGAGCATTATTTAATAAGGCTTTGTTCTTTTGAATTTTTTAGCAAATAGAACTGAGCAAAGTAGAGCAGATCAAACCATAGCAGCTCAAAAGAACAGGGCTTAACATGTATTTTGAGAACGAAAATAGATAGGATACTTGTAAATGAATAATTAGCTATCAACAACACTACATTTTATCTCTTAGTGATTTTCAAGTAAATTTGTCTATTTACCTCTACTAATCATCATAAAATACATGTTGATAACATATGTTGCACACTTATTAAGAATGGAGTTACTATTTTGTTATAAATAAAATTACTAAATTTTTTAATGTACAGTTATTTCAGGGCAATTTGTAATTATATGGACTAAAGAGAAAAACTATTGTTGACATTTCATAATCTGTACAAAAAAAAATTTTTTTTTTTTTAGACAGGGTCAACTGTAAATATTTAATTAGTCATTGATAATTACAAATTTAGGAATTTAGGACGAATAAATTGTTGTACTGTTTTGAATTTTTTTTTTCAACACCTATTATGGTCTGACTGGTATGATGTTTGGGGCCTTGGGGATAACTGGCATTTTTACAATAGCACTAATGTGAAATCATGAAAATAAAGATGGAGAAGCATTTATAGAAACTTTTAATTCAAGTGGTTGGACCTTAGGGACCATATTAGGTTGGGGCCTGGGGGCATACAAAGGAGACAACTTATGTATATTGATATTATCGTTGAGCTTATGTTGATATATATTATCGTTGAGAATATATTGGTATATATTTCGTATTAAAATAAGGATGTGTTCGTGTTCGGCAAAACTGTGGAGGTGACCATTACCTGTAGGAGTAAATGTTAACCGTCAATAAGTTGTTAGCTATTATACTCGTTTTTACTAATAGCGTACAAAATTCTTTTTAATTTAAAGTTGACTATTTATCATGTTTTAAACGGATATGTAAGATGCAATTCTATGAATTTAGTCCAATGTGCTATATCGATTTGTCATACCACTATACTAAGAAATTATGCGTCGTCTAATAATTTTGCAAGTAAAAGAGAACAGAGAGAATTGTTTATGGCTCTATACCATCTTCATTGGCAAAATTCAGGGCATGTTCATATTTGCTGAATTGAGCTAAACTGAACTGAACTGATTGGAACTGAACTGAACTGAACTAAGCTGAAATGAGTATTTTATGAGAGAGGGAAATTAAGAGCTGAACTGAATTGAACTGAAATGAAAATAAGTAAATATGAACAGGCCCTCATATCTATCTCACAAGACCGAATGCTTCCACCCATATCTATCTCACAAGACCGAATGCTTCCACCCAGTCAACCAATTGGTACTCCGTACACGGTGAAGAGTGAAGAACCATTCTATGCATGGTGAACGACTAATTGAAAATTGATGCACAACGTTCAAATATTTTGTAAATTGAATAAACTATTCTTCGTTATTAAGGATACGACTATTAAGTAATTGACAATGTAGACATAATTGTTACCCTTAAGGCATAGTATAATAAGAAAATAAAAAGTATTGAGAAAATTTAGAGTGTAATCAATTGATTGTTAGTGCAGTGGTGATTGGAACTGTATTTGGTAGACAGGATCGCGTGTTCAATCCCCCGCAACAATAAATGGATGGGGTCTGGAGCCAAATTACTCAAAACTTATATTTGAATCCGAATTAGGGCCTGTTCATATTTACTTATTTTCAGTTCAATTCAGTTCAGTTCAGCTCTTAATTTCCTTCTCTCATAAAATATTCATTTCAGCTTAGTCCAGTCCAGTTCAGTTTAGTTCAGTTCAATACAGTTCAGTTCAGCTCCAATCAGTTCGGTTCAGTTCAGTTCAGCTCTGTTCAGTAAATATGAACAGGCCCTTAGCTCAAAATATGAACTAGGTGAAGGAAAAAAAATGATCCTATTATGAATTTATAATGTAGATAGAGATTCAAACAAATTATATTTAGAAAATACGTGTAACAAACTCTTTTATATTAGGCCTTAGCACTATTCATAAGAATTGAGTGGTACTTTTGAAAAAGTAGGGATAGCATTTCTTTCATTTTTTTTTTTTGGTGCTTAGAGAGCTACAATGGCGGGGGTGAGAATCGATCTTAGGATCTCCTGGAACCGACAGAAAAGCTCTAACCACTTGAACTATCTCTCACTCTCGCATTTCTTTCATTTATGGTCGCTCATTCATTAACATTCAACTCAATGTTCTCCTAATTTGTAAACACGAAGAGATGCCTGGGCTTATTGCAAAATTAATAAAAAATATAGTCCAAACTCAAAACTCAATGCACTAAATTAAGTAAAGATTCTAGCATTAAAACATGGTTTCCAAGATTAAATGGTGGGAGCTATAATTACTAGAGGCGCAAAATTGGAGGCTTCCATGTGAGAAAATTATACAAGAGATATGCACATGTTAGTTGTTCCTGTTCAAGAGGAAACATGTCAAGAACAATTATTGCCTAAAACCCCCCATCAACCCTTATTTTGTCTGCTATTGCATTTGTGCTCATCTTCCTATCTATTTGATGTTCAAAAAGTTGTCCAGCTTATGCAAATCAGATCACAACTTTTGGTCGAATTTTGATGGTCTTTTCTTGCTTTTTTTTTTTTTCATTTGTCATAGTGGAATAATGCCAGTGTTTTTGACACATATTAATGCTCTTTTTCTAAAACATGATTGGTTGATTATAGGTTGGAAAGTAACAATAATGTTTTTAATTGCATTGTTTGTTAAGGCCAAAAAACAAGTAAATTACAAAATTATTCTTAAACCTAAAAAGTCCTACACTCCTACTTCCCTCCTAACATCAGCCCTTAGTTTCCACTCTTTCAATTGCTTTAATTGGGTTGATCCTCTTAGATGGCATTGGGTTAGGCTGACTAGAAGAAGATATGGCCTATCACAAAAAAATGCAAGGCATGACATGGCATGACAGATTACTATACGTTTATATGCATACTTAGACATAAGCTACCTTTATTTTAAGGGAAGGACGGCAAGACACATCATAGCTCAGCATGAAATAATATCGCAAGTAGAACACAGTAAAATTGAATTTAGACACGCAGGCACAACATGACCCAACATGATCGCACGTGGGCTTGGGCCGTGCAAGCACGACCTTTTAAAAATTTTGTCACTGTACAAAGTACGTGGGTTGTGGGGTGGCCAAATTAACCCCAAAACACATTGGCTCATCATAAGGAATAACCTATAGCCATCTTTGGATCCTCCTCATCATTCAAAATCTAGATTTTTCGATGCATTCTATATTTGTACACTCCTCTTTTTTCCCAAATAGGATATGCAAAGAGATTCGATCAGAGAGCACCGGCTTTACAAAGTGCTTTATAATCAAGAAAGAAATTAAAATGGTGAGAATACAACTCATACAGTACAAACTCTTAAAGAAGTTGCTATAAATTCACTTCATGTAGCTACAATATACAGCTATTGGTATGGCCTCTAATGTTGACGTCTGCCGTATTTAAAAATACTCAAATTCACTCATTCATTCATTCTTCTATGCATTGTCGATTCGGTGGGTGTACATTAAAGTTGCAACATGGACAACATCAATGACAAAGCATGAAAAGGTCAAAATAATGCAATTTTATCCTTTTTGACAACAATTGGTAATCTATATACATTAAACAAGGTGGTATTAGTGTGATGTATGAATAAAGATATTCAACGTCTATCGCTTTATCATGTATTGTTAAGTTAATCAAGTTGTTTATCTTATTATGATGAGTGAGTTAGTTGTCACAAAGCAAGCTACTTGAATTATTGTAATATGATTGTATGACTGCTCCATAAAAGAATAAAATATCTTACAAAAAATGTAACACCACTAGTTCTCAAGTAAAGATACAAGGGCAAGAAATCACAAAAGTAGACCTGAAAATTTTATGACTCGAAATCAAATTATACGTCGAAAATGAATGTATGTCAAATTAAAGCAGCATGTAAAATTATTACAAAGATTAATGGATTGGAATACATAACAATATTGACAGGTGTTTAAATCGAGATATTTACTGTTTCCACAAATGAATTTTCAAGTCCTTATATGCTTCTTTTTTGATGATTAAATTTCATTTTATAATTTATGCCACGTCAATAGTTTGATATTATGTGGAAATTGGAATCAACCTCCAAGTGGAGAAAGGGGTATGGTAATGGTTGTATGGTGTATACAACTATGCATGCATGTATAAAGTGTCTGTTTTCAACTTGGGGCTTGTTCAATAGGATTGTGCCTATCAATTGCCCTTGGCATGTGCATGAATGGTGCGCCACTGGGGACTTCTCTCGCCAATCAACGCGAGAAATTGGCACCAGGAGACAGGAGTCTAGCAAGTCCCACTGTCAAGTTCTTGCAAGAATGAGTATAGTCCATGTAAACAATTTTGTCTCGAGGATTAGGCTTTTATCTATATAGTCGGACAACTAAACATGTAAATTCTTACGTGATGTGGCGTAATTCTGATGTGTTTATGGGGCCTTATTGGGGCGTAATTACAATGTGTTTATGGAGTGCTAAGAAACAGTATCACACAATTAAACTGTCTTGAGTATCTGCACGACATATCCTGCTAGAAGTATTACATGATTAAACTTCCTTACTGTAATTTCAGAATAGGGTAAAACAAATAATGGGGGAACAACGTTACATAACCAAATTTGGGTCCAAACAGCTGCCAGCAAACAACTATTAAGTAAGTCCTACAATCCAGATTTGGTGAGCTTTAGGTCATAGCTCCTAGTATTTTTCATCTAATCCCATTAATACCAAAATCAGCCTTCATTTCTTCTAGAAGTTGCAGATCACAAAATGTGCCACTTTTGATTGCCCCACATACCACAAATGGGGGTATCATTTTAGCATCAAACCATTCAAATCTAAAACAAGAGGACAAGGAGGAGGGTAAGGCCATTTCTTTTTCTTAGCATACTGCAGAAAGGCACGTCCAAGTGCGGGTGAAAGCTGGGGAGTCATAACCTCAAGAGTCAAGACTCAGTCTCATTCTCAAGAATCTAAACCGGTGTGGACTAACCAACATCAAAACGAGGGCTGATAACACCACAGTTGTTTAATCTTCCATTCAGTTCAATCACTATCTTTCCGGATCTGTGGTCATCGACATACTCAAATTCTCCAATGTAACCTGTAGAAAGCAACACACAACAGCCAATTAATGATACATACAGCAAAAAAAGTTAAGGACAGATGACCTATTAAATATAATTCCCCAAAGGAGGCCGAACCAGTAATGACAACTGTATGAAGAGATCATACCATGCCCATGCTTTCTTGCATGACAACTAGAAACTTGATAATCACTTTTGAGGAAGGCCTAATAAGCAACTGCCTTTTACCTCCCTTCTCAGCACCTCCCAATCAATTGTAACGCTAATAGTGTGACTTGAAGTAGATATGTGACAACATATCAGGACAAGAAAATAGTTTGGATTTCTTATAATTGAAGGGGAATTTAAAGAAAAGAAGGTGGTTGATCATTTTGACAATTACCCTAAATACAATATACAATATGTTCAATCCTCTTCCCCACTTTCATCACTGAAATAGCTAGCTTTTTTCACCTTCTTCCCTTTCGCCAATCTCTGTTGTTCGTCATGCCCCATTAACAACCTTTGATCAGCATCACTATCAACCACAGAAGCCCAATTATCCTCCTCAAACGCGACCTCTTCCTCATCCCCTTCTCTCTCCTCCACTTCATCATCCTCCTTCCTCCTCTGCTCCTTCTCTCTCCTTCCCTTCTTAGGAACAGGACGCTCTCTGGGACCTAGCTGATTTTTGGGACACTCATAGCTCAGATGGCCTTCCTCCCCGCACTCATAACATCTAGACTTGTCCTTATAAACACGACGACGTATAAATTCAGCTGCGCGTCCGTTGTCTGAGGCAATCGAAGCTCTTAGGGTTCGGCCGTTGAGGATTTTTTCGTTCATCTGGCGGGCAGCAGAAACAGCGTCATCACGGGAGACGAAGAGGACAAAGGCAACGCCACGGCTACGGCGCGTGGCTTGGTCCTTAAGAATGGTGACACGAGCGACTTTTCCAAAGGTGGAGAAGATGGTGAAGAGGTCAGAGTTAGTGAGGTTGTAATCAATGTTGCTAACATAAACAGTTGACTTAGAGGGAGCCAAGCCACCGCTGCCGCTGCTGCTGCTGTGCTTGGTGGTGGTCGAAGCAGAAGCAGTAGAATGAGCAGCTGTTGGGGTGGAGTACCGATAGTAGAAGGTATCGTCTTCATCACTGTCAGCCATTCCCTTTGTTCTTGGAAATTGCTGGTTCTTAACAAATTCAGCAAATACCTACAAATTTTGATGAAATAGTTTAGTTAAGCATAATTAATATCATTTGGTAGTCTCCAATCAACATCCCCTACTCAGTTTCAACTATATTTATAATTATTTAGGCCATACTGTAAGAATTTCATAAGCTTATTGTGATACAACATATAAACACAGCATAAAGATTTCAAAGCTGTATGATAAAAGACAATTCTAGCAATGGAAGCCAGAATTATGATTCACAAGACTTAACCATCTACATAGAACTTGTAATAAGATTACACCAGCACATAATACACAGAGCAAGATTTCACAACACACAATACGATACAAAAGTGAATCATGAGTTAGTAAAAACCGCAATAAATTAGTCTCTTCAGGCCACAATATGAACCAATCTGGAAAGAGAGCATCACCAGTTGCTTAACTAGATATAGTAGCATAGTCCTACCTTCAGTTTCATATACTACGTATTTTACAACTTTGGGTTATTATTTGTGAGATATAAAATATTCCAAAGTTGCAAAAAATATGAAACGGAGGTAGTATATAAACTGCAAATAAGACACCAACTAACACAATTTCATATATTGGAGCTTCACTTCCATTGAAATGCTCCCTTTATGACACCAACTATTTGAATGCCCTCACAAATTTGACAACATTTCAACAGTTATAACACAGAATAACAAAGCAAAGAGTTTTAGAAATTTCACAGTAAATGATGTCGAGCAGAGGCAGAGAAGAATAATGATTTCAAGTCATGCCAATACGACTATCATATACTTCGTAACTCTTAAAATGATTACTGTCACCCACTAATAGATACTTAAGGCATATCATTGCACAATAAAGGCTGCAGAGACCACCCATGCCATTTTTACTAGTGTAGCTTTTAAAAATTGTAAACCTTACGGCTCAAGGTGCCAAGAACCCAGAGTTCTCACTTTTAACATGCTACACAGAGTTAATATATATATAACAAATCACAGCAAAGATTTAGAATAGCTGCTAACAGAGTGAAACCTACTTGGAAGACAGTCAATTTTCTCTTTCTCTTCTATATCTAACAATCTAATAGAGCCAATGAAACAACATAGCACCACAATATACATATTGGAGGTTGCCTACATAGATGAAATGCAGGATCCAAAAACCAACTGAAGCAGTGAGCAATGAACAGAATTTTAAGGATTCACCGTATATTCTTAAAGCAACAATTTGCACACAGCAAAAAATGATGGAAGATATTTCCATAGGAACCACAACACATATCCTTTCCAAACTATACAGTGAACACGGTAAACATATAGATGACTACGAGTTTCTCAAACAAAATACACGAAACAGATAATAAGTCATCTTCAAATACAACTAAGGCCATATGATTTTATCAATTTATTCATCTACTAATTGAAATTTCTCCTATTTCAACTACAACTATGGCAACATAATTTGGCACACTTTTTCAGATATGTTTTTCACAGTCGCATACCAGATTCAATGCCAAAAATATTACGAGTCAATCAATTCGATTACAAACTGTCAAACAGTCAAAGATCGAAAAAAACCGCATTTTTAATCAAACGATAAATACATTACCACTGTTTCCGATTAAAAGAAGTTTGATGAGATAATCATAATCAGCGCGAGCTCTCGCAGGTCGAGCAGCCTAATTAAACACCTCCAGAAACCCTAGAAAAACTTTCAATCAAATATTCTCCTGCAATTGAAATCCAAAAAACAACAAATTTAAAATTAAAATCGAATCGAAAAAATTAAATTAAATCGACAAAAACAACAAAAAATCGAAGAAAATTAACTAGATCAGAGAGAAAATGTGAGACATAAAGCATGGATCGGCCATGAAAATGTGATTGATTGAAGAGAGAAGTTAATTTGGAGAGAGAAAATTACCAAAAGAAAAAAAAAAAAAAACTTAGATGAATTAATAATAGTTGAAAAATGAGCTTAAAAATTTCTGAAGATGATCCTCTCTTAAATTCCTGGTTTGTCGAAATCGGCGATTTGGTTCGGAGATAAAAGAGAGGAGAGAGAAAAGAAGGAAGTTGAGATGAACCGGCCCTCTTTTATTATTAGGAAAGATTATTTTTTGGTGCTCCTCAATTGAATCAATGAATGGAGCATTGCTAACCGATTAGGTGGCACTTCGGGTAATTGTGTCTTTTCTATTTTTTTTTGGTATCAAAATTAGGATAAATATAAAAATTATTGAGATCAATTATTTTTATAATATATTACTCCAAACATTATGAGTTGACAAGTGGATAACATTGTGATTCAATTTGCTAGTTACAATATACTTCGTAGTATGATTTGTCTACTCATACTGAGCATTATTTAATAAGGCTTTTTTTTTTTGTTCTAACATCAGAGTCAATAGAACCGAGCAAAGTAGAGCAGATCAAAGCATGGCAGCTCAAAAGAACAGGGGTTAACATGTATTTTGAGAACGAAAATAGATAAGGTACTCGTTAATGAATCGAGGGATCTTCGGCCTAGGATACCTAGTTCAGGTATGGTGGCCACTCTTTGTGGGGAGATTGCTTCAAAATTTGATATCTGTTTGATTTTTGATGAGGCTTGGTCGTCCTTGGACAATTCGGCTGGTGCGGGTTGGATTTTTCGAGATTGTGATTCGCCTGTAGTGCGAGGAGGGAGTGCCCGTGCTTCTTTCTCCTCTTCAGCTCTCCATTCTGAGTTACAGGCTTGTTACTGGGGGTTAAGACATGTATGCGCAAGGGGTTTTCGTAGAATCCTCATTTTCTCTGATTGAGAACCTCTTTGTATGACGTTGGCCCGGAAACAACGTGACGACATTTCTCTCTGCTGGTTAATTCAGGATATTCGGGCTCTTTTGGCTACTGTTGAGGCCTGCAAGATTCAGAAAGTTCCAAGGCAATGGGTATCTCCAGCGCATTGGTTGGCTGGGAAGGCTCGTGTTCGGGAGTTTCTTTTTTGGTCTTTTTAAGTTGTTTGTTTTTCCTTTCTTAGATCTTACTGTCAAAAAAAAAAACACTACATTTTATCTCTTAGTGATTTTCAAGTAAATTTGTCTATTTACCTCTACTAATCATCATAAAATACATGTTAATAATATATGTTGCACACTTATTAAAAATGGAGTTACTATTTTGTTATAAATAAAATTACTAAATTTTTTAATGTACAGTCATTTTAGGGCAATTTGTAATTATCAATTAACTTATACTAAAAGCGAACCTAAAGTGACACTTGTCACGATGTTATAAAAAAATTTCCCGCCTTTTTGTCTTTCTTTTTTTTTTTTTTTTTTTTTTTTGCCAAATTTTAATGACTTCCATTTTATAACCTACCATAATAATTATTTCCATTTTGACAACACATTTAATTCAATCATACTCAATTAATTTTTTTTTCTTTTTCAACATATATTTTATATACTATAAATCTTTTAGTTACAAATATACTAACATAGTTTAAAATTAAGGTATTGACATATATCATCATCCAAGATTATCATAATATTATTATAATTTTTTTCTTTGACTTTAAATTTATTTTAATTAAAAATAGGAATAATAATTTTGGTAGGATAATTTGTATAAATCTTATAATTTAACAAAATCTTACAACGTTTATATGAACAACTTAACAAATCATTTTATTATGTTATACTTCTCTGTTTTTTTTATAAGTTATGGTTGGATTTGCACATTTGTTGAGACACAACTTTGATCATCAATATCTTTAATTAGAGACTATTAGTTTGTTACAAATATTTTTTTTTGGATAAATTTGTTGAATTAACACCATTCTTTATAAATTTTGTTGTAAAGTTTAATTATGACCGTGCATGGCATGATATTTAACCTAGTATTGGACTAAAGAGAAAAACTATTGTTGACATTTCATAATCTGAAAAAAAATAAAATAAAATAAAATAAAAATTAGACGGGGTCATCTGCAAATATTTAATTAGTCATTGATGAATTACCAATTGAAAATGAGCTTAAAATTTTCGGAAGATGACCAAAACTTGAACTACCCTGGGTTTTCGAATTCGCGATTTGCTTCGGAGCGAAATAAAGGAGACAGAAAAAAACCGAAGTTCACAAGAACGGAATTAGGAAAATTACAACATTAGCATGCCCGTAATTTGTTTTAGGTTTTTTTATTTTTTTTTTAGGAAACGTGTTTCACAAATTCTTATTAATGATTGTCCTCAAAAAAAAAATCTTATTAATGATGTATTACTAATCATGTATTAAAGCCCTGTTCTCTTCACCTTAAAAAAATAGTATTAAGTAAAAATAATTTCGGTTCAGTAAAAATATTTCAGTTCAGTAAAATTTATTTAATTTTAGTTCAGTAAAAATGAGTTCATAAACTTTTAAAAAAAATCGGGTGTACAATAATTATTGTACATCCATTATAAAGATAGCTTAAAGTGATTAAAAGTTACCTCTGAAATGAATAAAAGTTACTCCTGAATGCATAAAAGTAATCCAATTCAAATAAAAATTATCTACACTTTATTCGTAAAGAATCACATTTTAAATGACTAAAAATCAATTATTAATGATTGAATGTAATTAAATTACCTATATAAAACTTTTCTTGTTGTTTTTTTATATAAAAATTGTATTATGTTTAAAGTTACTCAAAAACGGGCAAAAAGTTACCCTAAAATTAGCTAAAAGTTACCCTCATACTGCTCGATGTACACTAATATTAGTGTAAACCGGATGTATACAAAAGTTTTTGAAATAAGTTCAGTTTAGTAAAATTCAGTTTTCTTAAAGAAGAATTATAATAGAAAATCAGTAAAAGAATAATTTAAGTTCAGTAAGAATAATTTCAGTTCAGTAAAATTAAGTTCACAGTTCAGTAAAAATAAGTTCAGTTCAGTAAAAATAATTTCAGTTCAGCAAAATTAAGGTGAATTAAACAGAGCCTAACAGTCATAAGGCTAAAGCTACTTGAATTTATTGTGTATGAGTGTATTGTCACTGTAAATAAATACTCCAAATAAAATTCCTTATAAAAAATGTTCTACCACGCTAGTTCTCAAGTAAAGACACAAGGGCTAAAAGTCACAAAAGTAGAGCTGAAAATTTTGTGAATGGAAATCGAATTACACGTCTAAAATGAACATATTTGAATAAAACAACGTTTAAAAATAATTACAAATATGAGGTATAGGCGTATAGCTAAAGTGGTTAGAGTTTCCCTCCCGATTCCAGGAGATCCTGGGATCGATTCTCACCCCGCCCTTTGTGGCTTTCTAAACACCAAAAAAAAAAAATATTAATTACAAAGATCAATGAGTTGGATAGATGTTAAAAAAAAAAAAAAAAAAAAAAAAAAAAAAAAAAAAAAAACTCATTTAAAATATTCACAATTAGGTATTAACGCTCTTAGCATGCATTATTAATCCGGATGACTTAAAACGAAGACTACTAGTTGTACTAATTAAATCATAATTTTATCTCTAGGATGTTGGACAAAGTAGCAAGGGCAAGTGATAGGCACAATCCTATTGAACATGCCACAAATTGGTAAAAGACACTTTATACATACATGCATAGTTGTATACTCCATACCCCCATTACCCCCTCCTTCCTTCCCCTCTTGAGTGGAGAAAAACTTTAGGTAGATTCCAATTTCCACATAATATCAAATAACTGACGTGGCATAAATTATGAAATGAAATTATATCATCAAAAAAGAAAGCATAGTAACTTAAAGTTTGAAGAATATGCTTAAGTAGATACCTCTTGCTTTGATCCTTTTACCAAACATTACAATCCTTTATTTCATTCATTCATCTCCTTTAAATTCAAGCATTGATTACCATTCTACAATTTCTTAACCCTCTTAAACCCATCCATTTTATCATTCTCATTATGTATCCCTCCAATCTCCAAAGCCATGAATATGATCGAATTCGATGGAAGTAGAAGGCCTGCGTAGGATTTGGAGCAATGGTGAGGATGAATACCGAAAGATCGAAGATTTCGGTTGATGATCATCAAGATCATTGAGACTATGGTTGGGGTTATCAAAGATGGGGCAACTGTCTATCCTTTGGCAAAGTTCTATATTTTTATTTTATTTTTTTTGGTTGAGTTTAGAATGGGAGAAGAGGTTATGATATTAGGTAATACTCCTAATCATCCTGTGTTAAATTAAAGGAGTAAAGAAGAAGTTTAGATTCCTCTTATTCTCCTTTTGTAACGAAAGAATAATAAATCAAATTACTTCGAGCTTATGTTTTTTATAGCTTTCCTTACTTGCATTTGTTCATCAGTATGAATTTACTCTTTTTTTAAGCGTATAAACAAACTTTGATCGTAAGACCTAATTGTTGTATCAGCTAGTGAAACATTCTATGTTTTATCGCCATTTTTCGAAGGAAAAAAGATTAATTCTAAACAATGGCACACGAGCTCAAGCCATAGGACAAGTTTATAGCTAATCACACTACCGGCGGAGTCAGGTGGTTGTGATGCGGCGTTCAGATTTGCAGGTGAAGAGAAAGCAAGTGCTCTTTAACCCTTTACAGCTTGTACAACAGTACAAATATTGCTTATGATGTACTCATGAACTCCTTTCTTCTTTTACAGTAAAAGGCCTTTTTTCATTTTAAAGTATTTTAAGCAATTAAGCTTAACATTGACCACTAATGTTGTATGATGACACTATATTTGCACGTTTTAATTGGTGATTTTCTGGTGAAGGATGTTTTGGGCAGCCGAAAATGGTTGAAATTTAAGTCTGAATCTATAGCCATTTCTCAATGATGAATTAGACCATGAGTAACTTGAAAAGATTTCCATTACTACCTCCGTTTCTGATTATGTGCAACAAAGGGGTATTAATTAATACCCCTTTGTTGCACATAATAAGAAACGGAGGAAGCTCGTACTAACCAATCATCGATTTGCTGAATCAATATAACCTAGAGCAAAATGAACAAAGTAAGGAGTCAAGTAGGCACATACAAGTCAGTATTTTACTCTTGTGAGTCTTCCCCACAAGCTAAACAATCAACATTTGCTAAGACTAATCAATTTTAGGTACATTGCCAACTATAATCTTGAAGGCCATTTAGCAAGGTAAACATACTTTACTCTAAAAATAATTAAGGTCCTCAATCAATTTACACCTACTCAAAGAGTCCTGGGCTTCCCTGACGCCCTATCTGATACTACGCCATTGTTATTCCCTCTCATCAGCATTAGCACACCATTGTACAACTTTAATCGTGTTGTAACCTAGCGTAACTTGACCACTGTCTGCATGAATGGTGCCCCATTGGGAACTTCTCTTGGCAATCAATGTGATACAAAGTCCATGTTATCAATTTTGTACTATCCAGGATAAGGCGTTTATCTGTAGTCTTAACACCTACACATGTAAATTCATAAGTGATACGGAGTAACTCCAAAGTGTTTATGAACTAGTGCTAAGAAACGCTATCACACAGATTACTGTCTTGACTCTTGAGTATCTGCACACCATAACCTTACTGTAATTTCTGAATAGGGTAAAACAACTAATAGGGGTACAATGTTACATAACCCTATTCATTATTCAACTGGGTAACTAAACTATTTACTGCAATAGCAGCCAGCAAACAACTTTAAAGCAAGTCCTGCAATCCAGCTCTTAGACTATAAGAATTTTTCATCTAATTCCCATTATTCCCACAATTCCATTTCTGCTGCTACAGATCTAACTATTCAACATTTCATCACAGGTCTATACTTCGGAGCAATTTTTTTCAGCAATGACTGGTATCAACTTTCAAGCCTAGTAGATGTCACATAATCTACCTTAACTCATATTTTTTATACTAAAATTCTAAAAATAACCTAGTTTGGCATACATACGGCCTCCAGAGTCCACAATCGATTGCCTAAAACGGGCTTTAACAAAAAATAGAAAGACTGAAAAAGGTACAACTGCCTAGATTATGTTATAGGCTAGTCCAATAGGCCAAGAATCACACAAAATCATGTCATAAACAATACAGTAACATCACACACTGCTAGTCTATTACCAGGGTTGAAAGTGGATCAAGCTGTGATGTGTAGTTGCTGACAGTTACAAAGAATACAAAATAGATGAAAGTTGTCTCTCTCTTTATCTACACTGAAGAGTGAATAAATATCTCAAAATCTGCAACATTAAAATTGTGGTAATACTTCAATGACTGAGATTTGGATATAGAGATGTTTACTGTTCATACATCAGATTTCACTTCTGCTAGAAGGGGGCATCATTATAGCATCAAGCTATCCAAATACAAACTAGAGGTCAATGAACATGGCAAAGACATTTCTTATTCTGAAAGCATCTACTACAGACTACGGAAAAGCCAGTCCAAGTGACAGTGAGAGTTGAGGGCCATGAACTCATATACTCCAAGACTCATCAATTGCAAGAACCTAATCCAGTGTGAATGACCAGCATTGAGTCAGACACAGGGTATAATCTAGCTTAACTCGATTTCCTTAGAAGAAATAGTTGATATCCCACCGTCAGTATGTTATGTAGCCAGCTTATATAGGCTACACTCCCTCCTATCACCTACATAACTACATTGTATTAAAGACTATTAATACCACATTAGCCAAACACTACCTCCGATATTTTTTAGTTGCAACTTTGGAATATTTTATATCTCACAAATAATACCCCAAAGTTGCAACTAATAAAAATCGGAGATAGTATATATTATCACAAGCTACTCCAGAGAACAGGGGTTACAACCTACAAAAGTAGACACAGATTACACATACGTAAGATCACATACAGGGCAGGGTTACTGATGTCACATAATGCCAATTCCAGAACTAAAATAGATCCAGCAGTAACGTGAGCCTGCTGGATACTTTATTAAAAACATATGACACCCAGAATTTGAAATTGGTTCCTCACTGCGCATAACAGCACTGAGAGATAGTGACAAAATGTGGAACACTTCATTGAGAGATGCATGAAGTTCATCAACTCGCAAGTAAAATTTTAGTTCTCAATTCTCATTAAATTTGATAGGAAAAAGCACACCAGAGTACACACAAGAAAAACTAGATATATTAAAACGGGGCACTACATTCAAAACATGAAGAAAATAGGAGTAGGCAAAAATATTCAAAGTTGTAGTACTGATCCAAAATTTGAAGTCAATCCATGGAACCTTCTCATCAGTAAAAGAAGCCAAGCACCTTGCCTCCAACATTCTTTCTTCTAGCCTCTTCGTGGTCCATGATGCCAGCCGAAGTTGTTAGGACAATATATCCAAACTGAAGAAAAATGAACAGATAATGATTAAGTGCCTCAAAATGACAAGAAAGTAACTCAAATAAAAACCATGAGAACAAAATCGTAGCCTTATTCTGAGGGCATAAACAAAAAAAGCTAGAACATACAATTTTATTGTTAAACAACTCAAACAGTAATAGCTGAAACAATTTAAGCAACTAATGATAAAGTTACTACATCTAACCTGTCTGGAGGGAAGCAACCTTGCTGTCCAGGACTCAATCTCTTTGACTCCGACATCAAAACGAGGGCTGATAACACCACACTTGTTTAATCTTCCATTCAGTTCAATCACAATCTTTCCAGATCTGTGGTCATCAACATACTCAAATTCTCCAATGTAACCTGTAGAAAGCAATCAACGATACATATTACATAATGCAAAAATGTAAGGACAGACAGCCTAATTAATGTATATCCCATTATCCCCTAGAGAAAACCAAACTATTAATGACAAGTGTATGAAGAGATTATACCGTGCTTTTGCATGACAATGAGAAACTTGATAATCACTTTTGAGGAAGGCCTAATGAGCACCTGCCTCTTGCCTCTCTTTTCAGCATTGTACATAGTTTTGAGAGCATCGTTCAAAACACTTGTCCTCACCATCCTTGCAAGCTTAAATTACTGATACATGATGTGAAACAATTAAGTTATGTGCAAAAGATTAGAACCCATTACAATGCCAATTATGAAACACTCAGGATTAATTTTAAAAAATGAAATAAAAACAAATGCTTATCACTGTCAATGCTCACACATCCAGGTACTTTTAAAACTCAGCTAAGTGTCGAAAAGTCAATAAAATTAGCCTTATATAATAATCTTCGCGAGAACCACAGCCTCCATTAATCATAAACATTTAACCAGTTCAAATGTATATTCAATAGGAAACTCAACATAATCCCATTATATGCCTCTAATTCTATTGGACAATTTTAAACCTGACTTCAATCTTTAGCTTAAAGATACAGGGGAAAACCCATGTCGAAACATTATATTCTCAACGGTTTATAAATAATTAATTACATTTGCAGCTACTCTCATTCATTTGCAATTCAGAGGAAATTAAGGATGTAAAATCAAACGATATTTCGATAAATCACCATCATTTATAACCCTATAACAGAAAGAAAAATACATTTTAAAAAATAAATAATAATCAGGAGTTTTAAGGGGACAAGTACAACATAAATTCAACGAATTTCCCAGATCAAAACCGTTAACACCCTTTCTACTGAAATCATACAATCAAAGTATCACCAAAATATATATACATCATCCTCAGTAAATTCAACACAACAATCAAAAATACAAGCTGGTAAAGAAAACAAATTGAAATTCCAATCACTTAGATAATAATTATAAATGAACAACAACATATTATCCATTATTTGATGAAAAAAATAACCACAGAAAACTGAATTAACAAAAAAATCAAGAGGATCTAAACAATAATAGCTTGATTAAAATAAAACCAGATTAAATTAGTAGCAGAAGAAGTACGAGGAAGAGAGAGATTATACCTGGACGAAAAAAGCGAGGTTTCTGCGCGAAGAACACAGGGAGGCAAACTCAAGAAGAATTAGGGTTTTGGTAGCTCAAAAGTGTTGCGCTTTGTTTTTGTTAAGCAGCTTTCACTCTTTACGAATGAGGCGAAGTCAGTGTGTGAGTGAGTAAAAAGTGTTGGACCAATGTAATGGGCCGAATTCTCTTAAGCTTCGGTTAATGGGTTGAACTTTTATAATTTGGTGGACTCTACTTGGTATTGGTGTTGGTTTACTGTAGATGAAATGGCCTTTAATTGAACATTTTAGGTTTTTTTTTTTGGTACTCTTTTGTTCTTGAACTATTGCCTCATGGTTTTCCTTGGGAGGGTTTGGTTCTAGTCTCCTTGACTAGGGTTTCCTGAATTTTCAAGGTGTCTTCTCTATTTTTGGGTCGAGTTTCTCTATTGGTACTTGTTTTTTCATAATTTTGTCTTGTTTGGTCTCCTCAATCATGAGAGACACAAATAAATCGATCACAATTTCTGGTGTGGAGACTAATTCTAGCCCGATTATTGATAACTCTGAAGGAGTTGTCAAAAGTAATCTTAATAAAGAACCCTCTGATGATGTAAATGATGTTATTGACTGGGATGTTGAAGGCGAAGACGATGATGATGCGAGGGTCGAACTTGCCATAGTTGGGAAGATCTGGACCAATAGGACTGTTAATGTCAACGCCTTCATTAATACAATGAAAGGAGTTTGGCAACCTAAGCATGGAGTAGACATCACTGGCATTGATAAGAACTTGGCGCAACAAAAGTAGGGTCCTTGATGACCAACCTTGGCACTTCGACAGGCATGCTCTTATCCTTGGCGAGGCGTCTGATTCGGTAAAACCCTCTGACACTCAAATTTTCCATTTACCTATGTGGGTAAGGGTGTATGATCTTCCCCTCAAGGGAACGCTAAATGTGAGTAATGTGGAGAAAATTGGTAATAAGTTGGGGGTTTTTGTTAAACTGGACAATGCTGCGAAAGTAGGCATTGATAGGTCTATCTGTATTAGAGTACTTGTGGATGTGAGAAAGCCTTTGGCTAAGCATGTTAAATTAAAATTAAGAGGGGGGATAAAAGAATTGTTTGAAGTTAAATATGAAAAGCCTCCTCTATTTTGTTTTTGTTGTGGTTTAATGGGACATGGAATGAAAGATTGCGAGGAGTACAGGGATGCTGAAAAACCAGTTACTTCTTATGGGGCGTGGATGAAAGCCTCACCTTGGAAGTATACTTCAAGTGTGAGCGATGAGGGGGGTGGGTCTGATCGAATGGCAGGGGCTAAGGTCCTGTTTGTTACAAAATCGAAGAAGAAACCACCTAGCTCTGATGATATTGATCGGGTTCTTGATATGGCTGATAAGCTCAATGTTGTTGGCCTCGACAATGATATTAATATAGGTGATAAGGGGCTGATGGAGGAGAGTTCAAAGGGAGTGAGTACTGAGGTGCTTGACTATGAAAGTGGGGCGGGAAAGGCAATGAACAGGGAGGTAAGTAGTGGTACAGAGGAAGCGATGAAAGGGGATGGGAAGGCAGGGAAAGGGTGGAAGAGAGTGTCACGGGATATGGATCATAGCATGAGCACTGGAGTAGTGGTGTTAGGAGAAAAAAGGAGTCTTGATAATTCTATGGAGGAGAGTGAGGCTGTGATGACTGTTTCGATTGAGAAAGAAAAAAGGAGGCGAGTTCAAGTGCCTAATGCTGTGAAAGTGGCGAGCCCCACCAATAGGGCTCTTGGTGATAAATGAGTTATATTTTGTCGTGGAATTGCAGAGGTTTGGGGAGTACCGATGCAATTAATGCGTTGAAACGCATTGTTTTTCTTGAAATCCCCCACATGGTGTTCCTTATGGAAACTAAGTTGAAAGCATTCGAAATGGAAAAAATAAAATATAAAATAAAATTCAGCTCTTGCTTTATTGTGGATTGCGAAGGGGAAGGTAGGAGAAGAAGAGGTGGTTTGGCGCTTTTATGGAATAACAGTATTGATGTCAATATTCGGTCTTTCTCTTTGAATCATATTGATGCAAGGGTAAGATCAATCACCCAAGATGAGTGGCGATTTTCTGGCATATATGGCCACCCAGATGAAGAAAATAAATATAAAATCGGGCAGCTCCTAATTTCTTTAAAGGGGGGAACCGATACTCCTTGGCTATGTGGTGGAGACTTGATTTTAATGCTTCACTCGGGTGAAAAGCAAGGCGGAAGGGTGTTTGATATGGAGGAAGCGGAAATCTTGCGTGATGTTGTTGGTGTTTGCGAGCTGGAGGACCTCGGTTTTATAGGTCATGACTTTACTTGGTCGAATAATAGAGGTGGGGAAGAGAGCATTCAAGAGAGGCTTGATAGATTTCTTGCAAACCGAACTTGGAGAGATGCTTTTCAGGGTTCTTTCGTTACTCACCTCACAAAGAGAAAATCTGATCACCTTCCTATTCTCCTTTGTGTCCAAGATGTCGTCTCAAAGCAAAAGAAGAAAAAGAAGAAAAAATTGTATCGGTTTGAGGACACTACTAGAAAACAGGCAAATAGCGACGGAATAGTTCCGACGGACCCAAAATTCCGTCGTAAAAGTCAAAATTTCCGACGGATTTTTCCGTCGTACAGTACCATTTCCGACGGAATTTAAATCCGTCGGAATGTATATTTTTTTTTAAAAAAAAAAACCCCTTTGAAGAAACCCTAAAACCTTTATTTCCTCCTCTTTCTCCTTCAGCCGTTTCCATTCTCTTTTCTCCTCTCCTTTTCTCCTCCTTTTCTCTCCTCCCTCTTCTCCTGTTGCATGCACCTCTTCTCTTCTTCTCTCTCCTCTTCTCTTCTTCTCTATCCTCTTCTTCTCTCTCCTTCCTCTTCTCCCTGCTGGCTGTTCGTTGCCCCTCATCTTCTTTCTCTCTTTCCTCTTCTCTTTCTCTCTTTAGTTCTTCGTGGTGGTGTTCAAGACAATGGGCAGTGTGTATAGTGGTGTTCAAGTCGATTTCTCGCCGATTTCTAGAAATTAGTGGTTTTTCATGTCAAATTCGACCATGAAAACTCTAGATCTAGAGTTTTCATGGTCGAATTTGACCTTTAAAACCCAAATTCGAGCATATTTTGGGGATTTGTTGGTAAAATTCAAGGTATGTTAATTTTTTCTTACGTATTTTTGGTTTCTGAGATTTGTTTTAGAAATTTTATGGAGATTTGGTTCGGGATAATTTTTGTGGTTCGGGATAATTTTTGTGGTTAATTATCGTTTTTTTTTTAATTTTCTTTATGAAATTCTTGCTAAATTTGTAGATCCATTGGTTTTGATTTATTTGTGTGGTGCTTTTCGATTTTATTGTCTCAATTTTTGTATTTTTGGGTTGATTTTCGATTATGGGTTATTTTCGGTTTTTTTTTGCTAAATTTTGTGTTTTTTGGGGTTTATTTTTGGAGTGGTGGTGTTTGAAGGTGGGAAGGGGCTAGGGTGGGTGTCGGTGGCGGTGTTTGAAGGTGGATTGGTGGTTGGTTTGGGTGTCGGTGGTGGTGTTTGAAGGTGGGAAAACGGTTGCTGTGGGTGTTGGTGGTGATGTTTGAAGGTGGGAAAAGGGTGTGCAGTGGGGTCTGGCCGTCTGGTGGTGCAGGGTGGTTGCTGGTGATGTGGGCTGGTGGTGGGGTGGTGCGAGGCGTTTTTTTTTGGTTTTTTAAAAATAATTTTCCGACGGAATTTCCGTCGCAACATACCGACAGAACTTAGTCCGTCGGAAACTTGCGACGGACTTTCTCGGGCCTGAAAATATTTTCCGGCGGACTGAATTCCGTCGGAAATTCCGTCGGAAAAAGCCCATTTTCCTACGAATAGTTTTCCGACAACTAGTTACGACGGAATTCCGACGGAAAACAGGGTGTTTCCGACGGAAAATTTCCGTCGTGATTTAGCTGTTTTCTAGTAGTGAGGAAATGTGGCTTCGGGATGAGAATTGTGCAAATATTAGAGTTGAGGCTTGGGATTATGGTGGAGATTTGTGCTCTAAAATTGCTTTCACTTCTACGAGACTGAGTGCTTGGAGTAGGGATAAGTTTGGGGATTTTATTGAAAAATTGAAGGCGTGTAAGGCTCAAATGAAGGTCCTTATGGGTGAAGCTCAAACAGTAGAGGTGATAGCACAAAGGAGAGCCCTTGATGATCGCATGGATGAACTGGAAAGAAGAGAGGAAATGTATTGGAAACAACGAAGTAGGCAAGATTGGCTTAAGCATGGGGACAAGAACAATTCTTTCACCAAAAAGCCAAGCAAAGAGAAGAGAGGAATAATATCAGATGTGTGCAAGATGCGGCCGGGAACACTTATAAGGAGGAGGAACAAATTTCAGAAATTTTTGTTAATTTTTTTGAAGACTTGTTCGCTATGAATAGAAATATTGAAGTGGAGTCGGTGCTTGATAAGGTGAGCAGGATTGTTGATGATAAACAACACTCGAGCCTAGCAGCCCCATTCACAGCAGAGGAGGTACATACAACCCTGTTTTAAATGCACCCTACAAAGGCCCCCGGGCCCGATTGTATGTCCGCCGTGTTTTTTCAGAAATTTTGGGATATTGTAGGGAATGATGTAGTGGGGAAAGTGTTAGATATTTTGAATAATAATGGGGATATAGGTTCTATTAATCAGACTCACATTGTATTAATTCCGAAAAAAAAAGAATGTGTGTCTCCTGTTGATTATAGACCTATTAGTTTGTGTAATGTGTTGTATAAGATTATCACAAAAGTGTTAGCCAATAGGCTAAAAATAGTTCTTCCTAACATCATCCATGAGTCGCAGAGTGGCTTTTTTCCGGGAAGATTGATAACAGACAATGTGCTAGTTGCCTATGAGTGCTTCCATTATCTGAGAAAGAAGAAGAAGGGAAAAAAAGGGTACCTTGGGCTCAAGCTTGATATGAGTAAGGCATATGATATAGTTGAATGGAAATTTCTGCAGGATATGATGTTGAAGTTGGGTGTGCCGGATAATTTTGTGAGGTTGGTAATGAAATGTGTGAGTACTACCTCTTTTGATGTTCTTGTCAATGGGCAACCGTCGAGAACTTTCAAGTCCACTCGGGGGCTTAGACAAGGAGATCCCATTTCCCCTTTCTTGTTTATTTTGTGTGCGGAAGGGCTATCTGCGTTGCTTAGATATGCGGGGAACAAGAGTCTTATTCATGGGGTGAAAATTGGTCGACATGTTAAGCCAATTTCTCACCTATTTTTTGCTGATGATAGTGTCCTATTCGTGAGAGCGACGGAAGAGAAGGTTGAGAAGGTGCTTGGTATTCTTTCTACCTATGAGATTGCTTCGGGTCAGAAACTGAATATGGACAAATCAGAGGTGTCTTTTAGCCGAAACATAGATCAAGAACGGAAAAATATGCTTCAGATGAAGTTATCTTAAGGCCGTCGAAGGACATGATAAATATTTGGGCCTTCCAACTTACATTGGAGGGTCTAAAAAACAGGTTTTCCAGAATATTCAGGATCGGATTTGGAAAAAACTCAAAGGGTGGAAGGATAAATATTTGTCTCAAGTCGGTAAGGAAGTTTTGATTAAATCCATTGCACAAGCAATCCCTGCATATGCTATGCAATGTTTCTTGATCCCGGCTAGTATCTTGAATATTGTTGAAAAATTGTGTCGACAATTTTTTTGGGGGCAACAACGAGAGGAAAATAAGATCTGTTGGGTTGCTTGGGAGAAAATGTATGTTCCACAGAGTCAAGGGGGTCTCGGATTTAGAAATATGAAAAATTTTAACAAGGCCCTTTTAGCTAAGCAAGCTTGGCGTATCCTCTCAAATGAGGAATCCCTCATGGCTAAGGTGTTAAAAGGTAAATACTTCCCTCACTCGACTTTCAAAGATGCAAAAGTTCAACCGAGCTCGAGTTACACTTGGAAATCCATCCTTGGTGCTAGAGATGTGTTAATGAGGGGGGTTAGAAGAAATGTTGGAGATGGATCTTCGACTCATATCTGGAGTGATCCATGGATACCGACCCTTAGGGGATTTACTGTAGCTTCAAGCCAGCCCGAGTTTGGCTACTGTCTTGTGTATGTGCGCTAATTGTGGGATTGTATTAGATGCTTGGATGTTGATCAACTTAAAGCCAACTTCTCTTAAGTGGAGGTGAGTGCTATTCGAAATATCCCTATTTTTATGTTCGATAGTAAAGATTTTTGGATGTGGCAATATTCGAAGGATGGGTGTTTCACGGTTAAAAACGCATATAATATGCTCACTGTTGGGCAGAATCAGGATACGGCATCGACTTCGAATGATAGACTCTCTTTTGATTGGAAGATGATATGGAAAATGGATGTTCCTCAAAAAATTAAAATGTTTGCTTGGCGATCCATTAAGAATGCCCTGGTAACTCGTGACAACCTTGCAAGAAGAGGAATGGAGATAGATACTTGGTGCCCAATGTGTGGTAGTGAAAAAGAGAGTATGCTTCATATGCTTGTGAAATTTGAAGGGGTAAGTTTGATTTGGTATACTTCTCCATTAAGGCTGAATATTGAGAACTATAATGGTGAGACTTTTAGAGAGTGGTGTCTCTCGATTCATAAGGTTTGTAAGGATATGAAATGGTGGAGTTTGTTTTGGTGTGTAGCTTGGGGTATATGGTTGCGTAGGAATGGTTGGGCGTTCCAGAAGAAGAAGATCGAGGGAACCGAAGTTATTCGTAAGGCTGTGAGCTTAATTGGAGAGTATGAGGTAGCTATGGAAGTCAGCACTATACGCCCCCCTGTTGTGACCCTTGAAACCGAGTGGAAACCCCCTCAAGTTGGGGTCATCAAAGTAAATTCAGATGCAGCAATTTTGTCTCCTTTAGTTGCTGGTTTTGGAGGGGTGATGCGTGATCATGTTGGGGATGTAGTTGCAGCTATGTGTATGAGAATGGAGGGGTGTTATGAAGTGGATGTTATGGAAGCAATGGCTATGAGGCATGCCTTACAAGTTACGATGGAAGCATGTTTCTTGAGGAATTGTCTAGAGACGGATTGCTTAAAGCTTTTTTTATCATTTATCGAAGGCTACTATCACAACAAATGCCTTTGGGAGGATCTTCAATGACATCCTCTTGCTTGCTCGATCATGTCAGATGTGCTCCTTTTCTTTTGTGAAGCGTTCAGGCAATAAGGTGGCTCATAGCTTAGCCAAATTATGTAATTCTTATATTGACTTTAGAGTTTGGTTGGAGGATTATCCTCATGATGTAACTCATCTGGTTGTGGCCGATTCGTGCCTAGTTGAAGGTTAATAATATTGCGTTTCCCGTAAAAAAAAAAAAAAAAAAAAACAAAAAAAAAAAAAAAAACTATTGCCTCATGGTAATTTTTGGAATTAACTTTTTAGATTGTGACCATGAATTTTCATTAATTCATTTTTAAAAAATACAGTAATATTCTCATACACAGTTTTTATTGAGTTTATTTTGATTTATGGGTAGTTTAATAATTTTCATGCAACAGATAAATTAAAATATTTTCATTTGAAAACATGCCAAATAGACAATAAAAGGCCAATGTAACAATTTTAAACAATTTCTCACTCCCTCTTTGATTGCCCGGAAGTGCAACAAGCTTGGGTGAAATATGACCTAGCAATGCTAATTGCAGACTCTCCGATGCAAACAAACTTTGTTGAATGGTTGCTTTGTATGGACAAGAAGGTTGACATAAATGTGCTTAGAAAGGTAATGACCATTGCTTGGGTTGTTTAGTTCTGCAAAAATCAAAGGGTGCATGACAACAATCGCCTTGATGTGTGTATGATTGCTGACGGATTTATGAGAATGGTGCAAGATTATTGTTCTTATGCGAGCAAGGTTTTCAACCATGTGAGCTTCCCAGAACCTGCTACTGTCTCCAAGTGGTACTGCCCTCAACCTAGGTACATTAAAATCAAGGTCGATGCCCATATCGGGGTTGGTAGTGCTGGAGGCCTACGTGCGATTGCAAGAAATGAAGATGGGGATGTTGTGTGGGCTGAAACAAAAAGGACCCCTACGCACTTTCCTGTTGAGATTGCAGAGTTTGTTGTAGTACGTTTTGGCTATAAAATGGCTATGAGGATGGGGCACGAGCAGATTTGGGTTGAAAGCGATGCTACAAATGTCACTTGAATAGTAAACAAGGCTGATCTTGATTACTATCCACTATGGTTGATTTTTTATGATGTCTGTAATTTAGCTAAAACGTTTCATGCTTTTAAGTTTTCTCATGTTTGTAGAGCATGAAATACGCTTGCTCATCTTGTTGCGAGATGAGACACGCCTAATTATTCGCAACTTGTATAGCTCTTTCCCGCAAGGTCTTTTAGACTTAGCGGAACTTGACATGAAATAAAATTTCTGCTAACATTTCTCCTCTAAAAAACAAAAGGCAAATGGATGAAGTATGGTATTGTGCTAAGGAGGCGTTTGGTTCCCAACCTGGTATGAGTTTGAAACTTTGAAATCAATAATGAAACAAGAGTGGTATGGTATGGGGTTAAAACTTGATTCTTAGTACCTTGTTCATTTCTAAGATGAGTATCATCTCCTTACCTAATGTTTGGTTCACAATGTTGGAATCAACATATTAAAATTTTAGCAAGTTAGAAAACTATTGCTAGAAAATTGCAATTTTAACATAACTTTAATTAGTACGTTAGCAATTACGCTAAGGTTGTGTTTGGATTCAATCATTTCATTTGAAATCTAGAATTTCAAATTTGGAATTTGAATTAATGACATTCAATTCCAAATTCTCTGTTTGGAAAAAACTTAGAATTTCAAATTTATCAAAATTCTCTCTTCCTTGCTTACTCTCCCTGACATTCAAATCCCCCAACTTGTTCATCCAAATCACATTCCTCCTCATGTTCATCCAAATCCCCAAATTGCTGACTCAATTAGATGAGAAATCGGCATCAATCAACCAAAATCTACAGTCATTATTTAGATTATGACATCAATCAACCCAAATTGTGATTCAAAGTAACATACCAATGGTGGTCGGTGGTCTGAAAATTGTTTGTTTTTTTTTTTTAAAAAAAACCCTTAGTAACTTTTCGATCGAGGAGAACGCAAACAAGCTGCTTTAATGGAGGATAGAATCTTCAGTAATACATAGTACATCGACGGAGGAGAGAGAGCTAAGAAGTTGCTTCAATGGAGGAGAGAGAAAAAAAATTGGGGAAACCTAAAAAGACCTAGGAGAGAGAAATTGGGGTAATTTTTTTAACCTGTGAGAATTTGAAACGACATCTTATGAGATAGAATTTGCAATTCATTGATTTGGATATAATTAATTCATGGCTTGGATTTGGCCCAAATCAGAATTTCAAATTTTTGTATTACCCAAACAACTCATTTGGCCCAAATCAGAATTTCAAATGAAATCCTTGATACCAAACAGACCATAATTGAATTGTATTCAATTGCCGGCAAGTATTATAGTTTACGCCCAACATTGCAAACTACAAACAATTCACCTTTTTTTGTGATCGACTCAGTCAAGGCTCCTTTATACTTACTTCCGCTTTATTCACCGCTATCCACATCTACTCACTATATCTACACCGTGTTTATCTTTGTAATTATTGTCTTATTTTGAGCAAAATAATACTTAGTATATGTTAAGGAATTCAAACAATGATGTAGCATTTAATAAATAATCTATTAATTAAAAAGTGTTCCTAATAACGTATATGTGTCACGAAAACCACTCAGTACACCACGTCACCCACTCAACTTCTCTTTATGCCACATGGCCCCCATTCCATTTGTTTCTCATTGCATGTCATGCACTTGTATTTTTTTTATTTATTTTTTATTTATTTATAAACAAATCTCCATCAGATTTGAACATGCATGGCTCAGATGAGCAAAATAGTACCCCTAAACCTAAGTAATATTATACTAGTATAACAATGATAAGTTGTTAACTACAAAGTAGTCAATTGTAAACCAAGCATTTCAACAATGAAATGAGTAACTGGAGTAGAAAGGATACATCTGCCTCTTAAATTGATCAACATTCACACATAGATGTAATCAAAGAATGTCACACATATCAAGTATTAATAACTACAACATTTACCCATGACACAATAAATTACAAAGTTTAGTACAACTTTATGAAAGTGATAAAATGGGAAGTTCTACATCTCTCATAATTTTATCCTTGAGGAAATTAGATTGACCTGCATAACGAAGGACTTACGAGTTACATAGTTCAAAGGTCTTAAGACTGTTAACCCAATAGGCAAGACATTTACGACTATTATAAATAGTACTCCGTACATAGTAGATTAGTAATTCAAAGTACATTTAATTCATTTATTTTTAAAACATATCTTTTAAAGTTTTCTAGTTATTTATAGTGTGTTCAATTCATGTATTTGCTTATAATTTTGAAAGAAGATTGCAATACCCAGTATGACAATATATTAGTATGCAGGCAATTAGCTTAGTTTAACAACTTTTATGTGTAGGTTAAGCATCAATTAAGGCATCAACCCTAAGTTTTATATTCCTAATCAAGAATTACATCAATGTTCATTGCTTAGGTCGTAGGGCCTGTTTTGATTAACTGAACTGAATTTAATATTTTATGAAATAAGTAAATTAAGAACTGAAATGAACATTTTACGAGAGAAGAAAATTAAGAACTGAACTTTGAAAATAAGCTAAATAGAACAGGCCCTTAGGACTTGACTATTTGTAACACCCCGACCCCAAACAAATTAAGGAGGGGCCTATTGTCACGAAATGTGCATCAAGGGCCAATAATTGTCCTCACAGACCAACATGAGTGTTTTCGGCGCATTTTGTCCTCACCCATTCTAAGACTACTCTCAGCCAAACACGCTTAATTATGGAGCATTTTAGCATGTGAGCTCCCTAAAAGGAAGATGCATCTTGTTGATATGAATAATATATCAAATTATTTTAAAGCAATTATGAGTAGGGATGAACATGGTCTGGTTTGGTGCGGTTTGAGTATAAACCAAACCAAACCGCAAAATACGGTTTGGTCAATTTTCCAAACCAAACCAAACCATATTAATATTGAAACCAAACCAAACCAATCCGTAATAATGCGGTTTATGATGAGACGACATTTTTTCCTAAAAATTGTCAAATATTAATAAATTTATAATAAAGTTCAAATAATTAGCCCAAACGGATTAAATTATACTACAAAGTTTTAATAAAAATAACAACCAACTAATCAAGTGCTAACACAATAACACACAATAAAAATAATACATAACAAATTAACAGTGGGAAAAACATAATACATTTGTCCAAAAAAAATAATAATTCATACTACATTATAGTTTTTAATAATTGGCAGCAACCTGACAACATCAGGGGCTGCATTATGTGATATCAATGATTGCCGGAGCTAAACTGATCTTGGAGTATAGTATTATACTGAATTACTGACCGTCTTGTAATGATTTTTCATGTTTTTTATTTTTTTTTCTTTTTAAAAATAAATAATAACTATTTTAATTTTTATAAATATTATATAAATATTAAAATGCAGTTTACTGATTTACGGTTTGGTTTGGTTTATAATTTTTGAAAAACCAAACCAAACCGCATTTCCCAAAAAATCGAAACCAAACCGTAAACCAAATCAAACCGCTAAAATACGGTTTGGTCTGATTTGGTTATGGTCCAGACCAAACTCTGTACAACCCCTTTAGATGTATTACAGTACTTGAGCCTTGAGGTACGGTTATTGCTTGATACCCGAAATAACATCCAATTGGATTGAAATTGAATTTTTTTTTTTATGAAGCCATGAAATTGATATTCTGAATTGGATTGTTAAAGGGCCAAATCCTATTTAGCAAGCCAACTGAATGAAGCGGCGCGAAATTACAAAAATCTCCCAATACAAAAAAGGCGGAAAACGAATAATGACCAAAACGTCATGAATCATTCACGTCAGCGATCCGTGTAAACTCTCAACATCCAATCAGAAACATCCTCCTTTTCCTATAAATAAACTTTCCCATTTCCTTAAAATCTTATCATTCTCATCTCGCTGTCGTTTATCACCACACTTTCTCTCTCTTATCCCAAATCACCACTCTCTCTCTCTCTAAAAATCCCCAAAATGCCTCCCAAAGGAGAGAAGAAACCCGCCGAGAAAAAGCCCGCAGAGGAGAAGAAAGCCGCCGCCGCCGAGAAAGCTCCGGCGGAGAAGAAGCCAAAAGCCGGCAAAAAGCTTCCCAAAGAAGCCGGCGCCGCCGCCGGAGACAAGAAGAAGAAGCGTCACAAGAAGAACGTCGAAACCTACAAGATCTACATCTTCAAGGTTCTCAAGCAGGTTCACCCTGACATCGGAATCTCCAGCAAGGCGATGAGCATCATGAACAGTTTCATCAATGATATCTTCGAGAAGCTTGCGCAGGAATCTGCGAAGCTCGCTCGTTACAACAAGAAGCCGACGATTACTTCTCGGGAGATCCAGACTGCTGTGAGGCTTGTTCTTCCTGGAGAACTCGCTAAGCATGCCGTTTCTGAGGGGACTAAGGCTGTTACTAAGTTTACTAGCTCTTAAATTGATTTTGGGATGAATTTACAGAGTTGTTTGTGTATTTAGGTTGTTCTAATTAGGGTTTCTAGTTTCTGCAGTTTGGTTGTTTGATTAGGGTTTGCTTTTGTAAAATTGCAGATATATGGAATGTTAAAGGATCTAAATGTTTTGTTTTCAATAGATTGTTGAAAAATTTCTCAATTTTACATTCCAATTGCCGATTGTGTTAATTCGATCTGCTCTGTTTGATGTTCAATATTTTGGTTGGATTCTGAGAAAGATTTTCTGTTTGTGTTAAGGTATTAGCAAATTATTCGTCGGAGAATCTCAGCATTTTGAAGATATGTGATTCAGTGTTTAAACTGTTGATATTGAAATTTAGTATATGACTTAATTGACGAAGATGTTAATGGTGCTTAATTTTAACTGTTCTCATTTTTAAATAGACTGGTTTTTGGACAATAATCGTTTCAATTTAGGCTTCTGAACCTCTCAATTAAGGGTTGTTGCAACTAAGACCTTTTAAGAGAAGAAATTATTATACAAACATGAACACTCGATAATTCATTATGCCATTTGCATACTAGAGTCCCGATTTATTTTTTATACTAAGAAAATTGACCCCTTGTTATACATCAATAGACATCTTAAGTTAACATTATTGACTTGTTTTCATTATTGAGATATAACTGTTGAAAATTGATTCAAATTTTGATTTGTCATTCATTAACAAATATCGTTACTCAAAAACAAAGATCCACAAACAATTCATTAACTTTTTTATGAATGCCAAATGCAAAGGAATAAGTCCTTATCTATACATACTACAGAGTACTATTTTAAGTTAGGGGTTAGATGCAAATATGTGTTATTTGCTCAAATTGTGCTTTATTACTCTTCATTTGTGTGTTTTGATGGACTCCAAGGGATGGACTATTATTGGCTAAGTTGTGTATAGTGAGCTTTGATATAGAAGGTAGCTAAATTAATGGATAATTTCAACTTAAAATAAAGCATAACCATATCAAAAGAAATGAATCAATGATGAAACTGACTATTGCCAACTATTTTTTTTATGACTTTTAATCCATAAATGATAATGGAGTGATTTTAATTGGGTTGTAAACTATACTTGTAGTGATAGGTCATGCGCCAAATATTGACAAACGACGAGAAAATTATGACATTTTGAAGATGAGTTGTTTATTAAATTTTTATAACTTCAAATGTGTATTTAACTTGTAATTCCGGCTAGATTGTGGCAAAGCTTGTGTTCCAAATACAATGTCGAATTATATAAAAATTTCAAGGTCAACTTCACCACCTGATAGGGTCGTTTATCCTTAGAATAGGGTGAAGGCCATAGTCTCGTACTCTCGTGGAAGTTTAGCCTTTGCCTGTAAATACTCCGTGTGCAAGGTACTTATTAAATATTACCCTTTAATCCTTAAATTCCTAAAATTTTGTTACTTCTTTATTTTTTTTACTTGAAAAACTTTGTTTATCAAGTTAATTGCATATGCTATGAGTTATAATTTAAATAAAAAAACTATTATTATACGAGATCTTGTTAAAGTTAACTTTGTTTGATAGGAAAATTAATTCATTGTAATAAATTGACAAACATATAATAAAAATTGTTCAAAATGGTGAAAGGACTCATTAGAGAGATTGTAATATACACCCGGATATATGGTACAACTAAAGGTCTGTTCTGTTCACCTTATTTTCACTTATTTCAGGTTTAATAAATTGACAAACATATAATAAAAATTGTTCAAAATGGTGAAAGGACTCATTAGAGAGATTGTAATATACACCCGGATATATGATACAACTAAAGGTCTGTTCTGTTCACCTTATTTTCACTTATTTCAGGTCTAAAAGTTCAGATAAGTTCAGACAAAGGTTAATAAGTTCAGATAAGTTTAGGGTTAATAAGTTCTAAATTAACGTTCTCCTCACCTTATTTCCACTTATTATATTTATATAGAGTTATTACTAATCAAGATTGCTTTTCACTTTTTTTTTTTTTTTTTTTTTTTTGTAAAATTTTATGTGTTTTATTATCATGATTTCATATAAGAATAAAGTAACATTTGCATAAAAAATAAAATTAAAGTAACGTTATACTCATAAGTTATGGTAAGACTAGATAAATTTTGCTTATATAAAAGTTAAGCAAATCAACAAGTTTAATATATTCAAAAATGCTAATATTTTCATATTTTATTGCTTTTATTTTAATATATTGTTATATATATACTCATATTACCAATATATTACACAATATGTTTCAAGAATGGCAAATAATGTCTAATAAAGTCTTATAAGTGTTAATAAGTAAAAATAAGTGTTAATAAGGTGTAATAAGTTCAGATAAGTTTAGATAAGTTCAGATAAGTAAAAATCAGGTGAATAGAACACACCCTAAGAATATTTGTTTGTTCATTCAATGATAAAATGAGCAATAATCATCAAATTGAGCAAAAAATACTCTTAGGTACACCAAACACCCGAATGTATAAAACAATTTCAATACTCATTATAATAACATTTCGTTTAGGGTTTAAAGAGAAGTTAGGGAGAAAGTGAGAAACTATAAGATGTCCACTATTCTTCATGAGTCCCAATTTCTTCCATTAATTTTAGTACTACATCTTGCCATGGAACTATGGAAGATTACAATGAAATAGTTTCCAATTTTCCATGACAAGTGCAAATTACTTTATAAAGCCCAATCATAGAAAAAGCCCAATCCAGTAAGAACCAAAGCTGGTACTTCCAAATTACCAGGCGCGAAAATGACGAAATCTCCCAAAATAAAAAAGGCGGAAAATCCAAAAATTCCAAAACTTTCACTATCCTAAACCACCCACGTCATCGATCCGTGTATACTCCCATCAACCAATCAGAACCAACCTCTCCCATCTATATAAACACTTCTTCCATTCTTGTAACCCTCATTCTCATCTTAATTCATTTTCAGTTCTCTCTCATCATCTCCCCCAATTTCTCACTTTTTTCTCTCTAAAAAAAAACCTCAAAAATGCCGCCTAAGGGAGAGAAGAAGCCCGCCGAGAAGAAGCCAGCAGAGGAGAAGAAGGCCGCCGCCGCTGAGAAGGCTCCGGCAGAGAAGAAGCCAAAAGCCGGCAAGAAGCTTCCAAAGGAGGCCGGAGCAGCCGCCGGAGACAAGAAGAAGAAGCGTCACAAGAAGAGCGTCGAAACCTACAAGATCTACATTTTCAAGGTTCTCAAGCAGGTTCACCCTGATATCGGAATTTCCAGTAAGGCGATGAGCATCATGAACAGCTTCATCAACGATATCTTCGAGAAGCTTGCTCAGGAATCTGCTAGACTCGCTCGTTACAACAAGAAGCCGACGATTACTTCTCGGGAGATTCAGACTGCTGTGAGACTTGTTCTTCCTGGTGAATTGGCTAAGCATGCTGTTTCTGAGGGTACTAAGGCTGTTACCAAGTTTACCAGCTCTTAAATTAGGGTTTGAGGTTGGATTTGTGGAGTTTGTGGTGGTTATGGTTGTATTTATCGGTTTGGTGGTTATGAAATTAGGGTTAGGGTTAGGGTTTTAGATTAAGTTTTTATGATTATGTCTATTATTATTAGGTCTTTAGATTTTATCATTATGTTTCTGTTTATGTATTAGCTTGATGCAGTTATGATATATTAAATGACTATTATAATTATATGGTACTTAATTTTTATCTTCTGGATTGCTAATTTGCGATTTTCATAATTGTTAATTATGTTTAATGGTTAATTGTTAAATATAATTTCATCAGTAGTATAAATCGTTGAAATTCAATTCCTTATATCATTTACTGACTTATGCAATTTGAAGGTTAATCTGCAGATTCTAATGGTGTTTGCACAATTGAACAATTAAAATGTTTTGTGTTTCATTGTTAGCAATTTGAGTAATCATTGATTGTGTTATCCCTAATTCCTTATCTCGCTGACTGCCAAATGTGGGATCTACTTCAATTGCATCAAGGTAATGGAGCTGTCATCGTAACCAATACATTTGAACCTCCGTTTTAACTGATCATATAATCATTTGTCATTTGAATTTGCAGGAGCATTAGAGCGGAGGTAAGGCTGAAACTGAACAAAGAACTTATTTGACGTTCTAAGCTGAGGTACATTGTCTCGAAACACCTCATAGCTTTCAGATATGGTAGAGTTTTCATGTCGTATGTTCATTATCGTTTACCATGTGCCTCTTTATTTTTATCGTTCCTTTAGATAAGTAGGCGTAGGGTAGATTACTGTATATTTTTTCGATATTGAAGTTTGTTTAGTGAAGCAAATAGGTACAGGATCCTTGTTTAATACCAAGTACTGAACTTATGTTGAAGAGCATGGATAGTTGCTAGGTGATTGGACCTTTTGATGTTGTCTGCTTGTGTTTAGAAAATTATATGTTGGTTAGTGCTTTATACTCCGTAGTTCATTAATCGTTAAGCAATCTGTTTGTTTTGAGGATGTGAAGTTGACGGTAGCTTGAGTGATTTGGCTTGGATTACTAAATATAGAGGAAGTGTGCGAGCCATGTTTACTTACAAATGCTTTTACTTGTTTTGAATTGATGATATAAGCTATTCGTAATATGAGTTTCAGGAGCATTGAATTAAGGATGAATCAATTTGACGTTCAACCTGGTATTTCTCCTGGTGATCCCTTGAGAAGGTACGCTGTCTTGCAACCTTTTTTTGCCTTCAAATTTTCATAACTTGAGCTAATTATGGTTAGTATTTTTGATTTTCCATGATATCATTTTTGTTCGTTGCTTTGTGTCTAAGCTGAGTAAGTGTAGGGTATGTTCATCTTTATACTTCGGGATATTCAAGATTTCACGGTTGTTCAGTGAAACAAGTAGGTAAAATTGGCTGGTTTTTCTGAACTTCAATGTGTAAAAACTAAAAGGCATGGATAGTTGCTGGTTAATTGTAGTTTTTGATGATTTCTGCTTGTGTATACTGGAGAAAATTATAAGTTGGTCAGTGCTATTTAGTTAAACATCATGCAATCTGTTAATATTTGTGTGATGAAAACTTGATGATATTATGGTGTGTATAGAAAAACAACTCAGAGAAGAGTTTTCCATAGGTGGAGTGGTCCTTGTCTGGAGTTGAAACAACCTAGGGTTTTCGGGGTTTAGTTAAGAATTCGGAAATAATCCTGGCTTCACTAACTAATTCTTGTATTAAAGTGCCTCAGATATTATTTTTTACTGGTTTCTGAATGTGGAAGATAGCAGACTTTTGAAGCCAGTTGTAAGAGATCCATGTCGTTGATGTCCCTGTTCCTTAGTAGATCAATTATCAATCTTGTATAGCTAGATGAAATCTTGCAGTAGATATTGGTTTGGTAGTACTTATTTATACAAAGATTTAAGGGCTTTCTGATGTCAATGCCAGGGTTACAGTTTCAAACTGGTTTATTGTTGAATCAGCATAGCATACCATTATTTCCATGCAAAGTTTGGTTGCTATCAGCATCTGTACACCGTATATTTTGCTGAAGCAGTATTTTCTAGCTGAGCAGTTCAATACAAGTTCAATTTGAGTTGTATGCTCTTATCCCCCACCCCTTTTCTCCCCAGAGAAGGATTTATTTGTGCTTTTGACATCTTTGGCTTGCTTACAACGCTCTGTATTTACATGTCCTTAACCACCATCCAACACAGTTTCTTGAGTACCCGAGTACATCTATTGGAGGCTGGGACTTGGGCGTTGTTTGTTCCTCTCCTTGCCCCTTCACCCCCTGCATTGCTTTATCTGAAATTTGTGATCAGGTTCTATGTTCTGAGTGTGTATGCTACAATGAATAGATTTTCTAACCTCAAGAAAATGAATTAGGCCACTAAATGCTTCATCTTCCTCAGTAAAAAGGGGAAAAAAAAATGTTTCATCAGTTCCTGTATCTTTATTGTCCAAATCAGTTTTGTTCTGTGATATTTATGTTGTTTGTGTGCTTACATGCTTAGGTACTTCGGTATTTTTGGATAGATAGTCACTTTTTTAAACTTTTGGCTATTTATGACAAGGGAGCGGGGCTAGATATCTGGGATCTGGTCCGCTGGTATTACATGAGAACTTTAATAAATCTGCATGTGCATTGAGTAACGTCATGGAATATCGCTTACAATAAAGTCTTTCCTTGGGTCTTATAATTAGTCGATCACATTACTGAAAACTTGAAGGATTAAGGAGATGTTGAAGTATGTTTCTGTTCCTCTATGTTCGATTCTTTTTGAGTAAGCTATCATCTGTAATTTTCAGCCGATTATTCTTGATTCTACCTGCTATATCTGTGCATTACATAGCTTTCTGATACTTTGGCCTGTTTCGTACTTATAAGTGTGATATCTAATTGCTGCAATTTTGTAGAGAATAAGTTATTTATAGTACGTATAGTAGATGGTTGGGTAGTGACCTATAGGGTTATTTGCTGCCAAATCAGTGGTTGGCATGGCTAAGCCTTTTGATAGAGTTGAAGACCTTTTAACAGGGATTATAACTTCTTCAAAGATTTGGATAATGTATACTTAGATTTAGTGCAACAAGAGAACAAAAATTAAATCTACCTCTGTTGGTTACCATTGGATTGTTTAGGTCTCTGTGTAGAGCTTCTAATGCTCTATTCTTCATGGACCTTCCACCTCCGACTTTTCTCCCAAGGTTTCCCCTTCTGCCTTCTCAACTTTTTCTTGCTTAAACCGTCTTTTTCTGTCAAATACTGAATCTATGCATTAAGTTTTAACATTTATAATGTTTCTATAATCCCATCGGTATATCCATATTTTTGTTTTCCTTCGTTTTTGTTGGCAAGTTGGAATCTATTAACTTCCAAGCATATTATTTCTTTTTTTTTTTTAAAAAAAAAAAGCTAAGATGTTTATGCTTGGCTCCTCAATATAAGTAACTGGGTATTTCAATAAGTGGACTTTATTGTGAATTCTATATTTAAGCTTATTTTATGTATTTAATTATTTCATATTTTTACTCGCTTGTTCCGTCTACTGGTGGTACCTCTGTTTGCTTTAATACTTGATATGATTTTAATATGTTTAAGTGTATAACTCCTTTTCTTCTTATATACTTTCCTTTTCCTCACATTCTCAGCTTCTAATATCTTTGATTCATTGTATAGTCGTACCTCGGTATCTATCCTGCTTTTTTTTGCTTGATTTTTGATAGTGAATGAAGCAAAATATGCAAAAACTTTTAAGGGTGTTGCTATGTTAACCTTGGTTCCTCTGCATGGACTAATTTTTTAAGATATGCTGTAAGTTACTTAAAGTTACTCAACTTTTCTTATTTTTTATTAATCATAAATGCAAACCTCTTCATGATGGATCCCTTTTGAGGTTTTAATTTTAGCCAACCTTTAGGGTTTACGGTTAGTGTTATAGATTGTTAAGTTTTGTGATTGCTTCTATCTATTAGATCATTAGGTTTTATGCTTATGTTATGAATCTGTGCTAGCTGGATGCAGTTATGAAATATTAAATGACTGTTCTTTGTATACGGCACTAAATTTCGGTATTGTTAACTTTGTTTTTGCGAAAGTGTTTGTCTACTTGGGTTTCAATTTAAATGTAAGCTGATGAAAATGTTGTATTTCTTCAGCATTTGAATTTTCAATGAATGATATGTGGATGAATATGATAGGTACTTTAGGTAGTTACAAGCTAATTGTTATTAATTTCAAATTAAATTCATTTAGAAGTCTAATTCATTGAATGCCAAAGCCTACTGATTTGAAGGTTTATCTTTAGATTCAGATGGTAATGCATATTATCAATAAGATTGCTTCATCTACACTGCCTTGGTAAATGTGGTGGGAGGCGACAGGAGATGTTATTAAAGCATCTGGGTAATGTTGTTTTCTTTGTTCCAAAGTGGATATCCTTTTGTTTTGACTAAGGGCCCGTTCTGACTGAGGGCTTGTTCACTTCGGATTATTTTTAATTCATTTCAGTTCTTATTTCCTTCTCTCATAAAATATTCAGTTCAATTCAGCTCAGTTTAGTCAATCAGAACTGAACTTAACTTATTGGAGTTGAACTAAATATTTTATGAGAGAATGAAAATAAGAACTGAACTTCACTTCTTGGAAACGAAACCGAAAATAATCTGAAGAGAACAGGCCCTAACACTACCAATTGTCTGATTGTCTCTACTTCCGTTGATATCAACCATTTTGAATTGAACGTATAACCTTTTGTCTATTGGATTTGCAGGAGCAATGGATTATTAGGATGAGGCTGAAAAAGAACCTATATGTCATTCTAAGCTGTCTTTGTTTTCTCTTGCTGTTCACTGGACAAGGTAAGTTGCTTAACAACTCTCTGTAGCTTTCAGGCTATGACTGAGTATTTATGTTTTGAACTGTTTATAGTTTGTTCATTATAGTTTTCCATAATGCCTTTTTTGCTGGTTCCTGCATGTATGCGACTATGAGCTTTGTAAGAGTTGGGTAAGCTGTATATTTTGTGATAATAGTTCAGTGTAGCAAATAAGTAGTACTGACTGCTTGTGTATTAGTGGAGAAATTGTATGTTGTTTAGGGATTTTTAGTTCATTTATCAAGCAATCTGTTTATAATTGGAAGAAGAGAATTTGGTGATTTTTTGCAACTTGATTTAATTGGCATTGAGCCATGGATAACTGAATATGGAGAAGGTATTTGAGCCAAGCTGAGTCTATAACTGTGCGGTGCTGTATAAATTAAAACAACTCAGAGAAAATACAACTTATAGAAAATAAGCATCAATTTCACCAAGTTAAAGGAACTTGAGCAGGATGATATGCAGAGATTGAGTCCTTAGCCTTTTGATGGTCCAGAGAACTGAGTAACGGTGATTAAAATTTCATAACTTGAATACTCTGTCTGGATGTCAAGAACCAGGGTTGGGCCTTTGTACTTAATCTATAGATAGTGCAGGTTGCCTTTTAAAGTTTTAAGTTGTCACCTGTCTTTAAAGAGGCTTCCAGTAGTGACTTATCTTCAAAGACTAGGTTACTAGAGAAACCCCTGTGATTGAAGTTTAATCAGCCCCCTCTTTATCTACTTAGTCAAGTCTCATTCCGGTTGAGAAGAAAGTCTCAGCGATTGTTTTTATTGGCTTGTAAGTTGTAACTACATGAAAATTTGACTTTCCTAGTTAGTTAAAATTGATTGACTTATAAATGTTTGGTTGACAGTAACACAGGAACTGTAATAACTCCTATATCTACCAAATAAATCTTGGCATTGCCTTGGTATTAAAAATTCACGGGCATTGGAACTTCCTATTAAGAAATATTTCCTACATCATATTCTTAGATAGGGGTGATTTGTGGGGTGATCTTTATGACGAGCAAGAATTATACTGCTTAGATAGAGCCGTAGAGATCATTAATGTTGACACTTATTTAGGATCCTATATTATCTATGGTCCGTAAATTCTGTTTTCTGACCTCAAAATCTCTTCAATTTTCTTTCATATTAATATTGGCTTAGAAAGATCTTGTGGTGTGATCTATAGTTTCATGGGACTGCTTTTGGTATGATTTTGTGACCGATATGGAATTCAGATAATATGGGAGGTTCTCAACACGTCTGTTCCGTTTTCCTATACTCTTGCTATTGTTTCACATATACATACTTCATAAGAGTTTTGTGACCAATATGGAAATCTTGTTTTTCGTTGTCTACCAACTACAAATACTGAAATTGTGTAGGACATACATTTTGGGATCACTGAATTACAGAAATATCGGTAGTTTCTTTTAATATGGAAATGGATGCCTTGGTCCTTTGGTTAATGGGGGTGGAATCATGTTATTGTTAGGATTGGGGATAAATAAAATACGAAGGATAAATAGTCGCTGAACGAAGGTGAAGAATAAAATACGAAATATGAAATTTCTTCTCATAAAACCTTGAGTTTTTGAAGACTTAAATCAAACAAATGTTTCTTCCCCAGTTTTTCTTTATCTTTCTGGATTTATCTCTGTCAAATGATCAATATAAGATTCTATATCTTTTGAGTTACCAAGACAAGTGATTTTTCCTATCAGTCATATAAGCATGTCCATATTCTCGTGTAACTATCCAATATCATTTTGCTATTTTGAAACTTGAATATGCACTTTGGATTATCCCTATCAGAAAATAGATGAATTGCAGTTTCGTTAAGGGTTATGGGGGTTATGAGGTCCTCGACAGTTGAGATTTAGAAGCATCAATTAGATTTGTAGTATCTGAGCTACTAGTAATATCTGATGCAAGTTCCAACCATTGAATGATCAGCGTTTACTGGTGGAATGATGGCACTCAGATTTTAGACTTGTTTAATTCTAGTAACTTAGTAAGTAACAATGTTGCCTGCATTTTGTCATGGTCTTATTTTCTACAGTAGTAAACCTCTGCATCAGTAAATAGGAAATTGGTAATTTTGATGTCAATTGACACTATTTCTTACTTGATTGTTCACACAGCTTGGCATTGCTGATTTTTTTTCATTGAATATATTTTGCTAGGGAGTGTAAGTGAACTCTAAGTTGGTGGCTGTAGGTGTATATTCTGTATATTCCAGAGAAAACAACATATGTCTTTTGTAAGACTTCCTTGTCATCATTGAGGATCAACCAACCATGTCTAGCATGAGTCGAAACCATATATTTAGTTCAGGGAAAACTATAGCTAGGACCTACTGAATCATAAGTCTCACGAAATGAGAGGATAAAAAGTGGATTGTGAACAGTGTTGAAGAAATGTATAGAACAATTAACAACATTTAAATTGACTTCTGGGTACATATTTTGAAAATCTTCTCTGCTATGCTTCTTTGGATTATTTACACACAAGATTCTGTATCAGGGTGCTACTTTCACAACTGGGTAGACAGTTAGTGACATGCATGTCGGTTTCCTCTACATCCTTCTCCGACTTTCTTTAACCTGGACCTATACTTAATTTGGAACTTTAGGATTATCTGCTGAATTTTCTGAAAAATGAAGAACTTATCGTTGATTACATGAGTAGTTATTACTCTTATGAGGTCCCTTATCTGTTAATCTGTTATGTTGTCATGAATCTAGTAACACACATCTGATGCCAGCTGCAATGTTATTCTTGGGCATTATTGTACTTTCCTCTTTACTGTTCAAAATGATGTTATGATTCGGTGGGTAAATAAATAGTGAAGATCATCCTGAGGTTTTCTTAATTGGTGGATGGTTTTAATCTGAGTTTTCTTCATAGTAGTTTAGTTTGAACCAAGCTTTTTTCTAACAAGTCAGCCGGCTTGCACTCTGTAGAATCTGGTTTTCTCTAGCTGATTCCTAATAAGCTTTTGTATCCATAAACTGGGCAAGTAGTTGAATGAAGTTGTTGCTAAGGCTGGTGGGCATAAGTAGTAGTGCAGTCTGCACAATTCCTTACTTTTATGGTATTGCAAAGTGCCACAGCTTGAAATTTGCAATTCCAATGTTAGTAATTTCTGCATGGTGTTAACATGAAAATATTAGTGATTTTTCAGGTACTTATATGCTAGAAACCGATTATGATGTCGTGCTGATTCTGCTGATTACCCATGGAATAAGTAATGTGCTGCTTAAAAAACAACCACCGTTGAGCTTTTTATTCTGAATCTGAATATTTTGTCAAGGAAAAAAGGAAATAGACTCGAAAATTGAACAATGCATTAATGAAATGCAATTAACTTCTAGAGTAGGATAAGTTGAATAACCACCATCTTAGCCTACAAATGCCCTAGTGTCAACTCTAACTTATATCATGTCTACATTTCTTTATCTAAAGATTGTTTTAATGGTGTATTCTTTGCTTCATGCAGGTGATCAGGAGTTTGATGTGCCTGCTGCATCACTATGGAACATTTTAATTGGGGCAGTGGCTTAAGATTGGGATCAGGAGTTGTTTGGCATTGTAAGATTCATGTGATTCAGGTCTGTTGTTTTACGTTTCCTGACTTGCACCTTTTGTGGACTCAGGAAGCTCAGGGGCGGTTGCTTATGATTGAGTTCCGGTGCCAACACTCGCAAAGGAGAAAGACTCTTCATGTTTCAATTTGCAACTAATCCTTTTTCAAGTTTCAGTCTATGAAGTATGAACCAGAATTTATTGAATATTCTGTAATTCAATATTTCATGTCAAATCCAGAGCCTTCTTTTTTTTATTATAGTATTATTATTTTTTTCCAAGGTAAGGTATAGGGGGGAAATGAGGCTCGAAGTTTCGAACCCCCGTCACATGGGGGCCATAGTGCCATACCAGAGCCTTCATGTACTAGTGGAAGTTGTACAATGTTATTTTATTTGATGAAGTGAAATATGAGTTCAGTTTGACAACGTAGTTCCTTATTTTGTAGTTTCAAATTTCCAAGTTTTGTTAAATCTGCAATTTTTCCTGTATATCAGTACTGCCCAATTGCCAATTCCAAGCATCACAGTATATGGTAAAATAGATCAAACCTGCAATAGTCATTTTGTCAGCGTCAGATTTCATGCTAACAATATACAGTCTTGTTATGGAGCACTCCATAGTATCATTGTTTGAACTTACCTCAAAACATTCCCTATGTTACCCTTCATTTGACAAGATTACTGTTATAGTTAAGCTTTTCTTAAAGGAATTTGCGTTTGTCCAGCTTTTCTTAAATGAACATACCTCAAGCTTTTCGTAAATGTCCAGATTATCTTCAAACTGTCAAGTTGTCAATTATAGTTAAGCTTTTCTGTAATGAATTAGTGATTGGTTCCAGATTTCTGATTTCACAGTTTTAAATTCCCAGTAGCATACTTCTTGCACTCAGATACAACTAAAATAAACACAATCCAAGAAATTTTACTTAACATTTATAATTCCTTATTTGTGCTCACACTAGGAATTTGTTAATACTATATCAACTCACTCAACTAATCTGGTTCAAATTAACTCACCCAACACCTTAACCAATAACTTTCAGCTTTCATGAAACACCTAACTTACCTCAAAACATTCACTCTTGACAGAAGACTTAGAACAGCACAAATAAAAACTAAAAATTTATTACGGAATAAACAATGAATCAACTGACTTAAAATATCTCAAATCTTTAAGTAGGTGAAGAATCTCCAAATTTTAATCCATATACTATAAATTTACAGCAATCAACTCTTTAATTAGGTTAAAAATCTCCAAATTTTATACTAATACTTGATAGAATTAGAGTTTCAAGATACTTTAACCAACAAATTGAATTGAACCACCATAACAATAAAATTGAAAATAAAAAATTAAATTGCTCAAAATTGCAAATTAGAGAATAAAGATATAAGGGAGAATAAATATTGTTTTTCATTAATAAGCGTATGATTACAGAAACTGAATCAATCAGCTATTGACTCAATCCCCTTTAACATACAACCCCTGACTAACCCTTTAAAAACCCTAATTAAACTTATACTACCATAGTTACAAAATGCAATAACACAAACCAACTTCAAACATATCCTTCAATCTAACCCGAAACCGTCCTCGCTATCATCATCATCTAAGCTTTCTTAGGGGATTTAACACCCTTGGGAGATGGCTTCACATCCTTTGCAGCCTTATCTCCTGTCTTCTTTGGCAATAAAACTGGGTTAATATTTGGTAGAACTCCTCCATGCGCAATTGTCACTCCTGAGAGCAATTTTCCAAGCTCATCATCGTTCCTTACTGCAAGGAGAACATGCCTTGGGATGATCCTGTTCTTCTTGTTGTCTCTTGCAGCGTTTCCAGCCAATTCCAGAACCTTCATTTCAACATAAATCAATCATCAAATTCCAGATCAAAATCAAAATGAAATCAAAACTTTAGATTTGAAAACACAATTTTCCATGAATTAACAAAATCTGGAAAAAAAAAAATGAAATCAAAGATATGAATTGATTTGATTGATATAATACCTCAGCAGCAAGGTACTCAAGAACAGCGGCTAGGTAAACAGGAGCGCCACTACCAACACGCTGAGCGTAACGACCTTTCTTCAAGTAACGGCCAATTCTACCAACGGGAAACTGCAATCCAGCTTTCACTGAGCGAGTCACCGACTTCTTCTTGGGGCCTCCGCCCTTCCTTCCGGCGGCTCCCTTCTTCGCCTTTCCTCCGGTGGTGGAATCCATTGATAGGAATTTGCAGAGATTAAAATGGGGATTTTTAGAGTGAGAAAGTTGAGAGAGAAATTGAATGAGATTGATGGTGAATTTGGGTGGAGGGAGTTGTGGGTTTATATAGTGGAGTTGTGGGAAATGGGATTTTGGGGGGAGATTGGATTGTGGGTTTTGAGCCGTTGGATTTGTTGGATTTACGGATTAGGATCTGTTTTTGATAGCGATCCGTGTGCTTTTGAATGGACCAATGGGAAGCGAGTATCATTTTTTTTGAAATTTTGGTTTCAGAATTGGAACCCGCCACATTTTTTCTAAAATTTTCAACATTATTTTTGTTTCCCTCTTTGTTTCTTCGTAAAAACTATTGTGAAAGTAAATTTTATTTTTTTAAAATAAATGAGCGAAATAATTACAAAGTATAAATACTACTACAGTATTAATACGGAGTACATATAATATTTTATCTTGTTCTTTTTACCTTATTTTTACAGATTAAAACTTATTTTTATAGTTCTCTATTACGGAGTATTAATATTATTATTATTATTACGAGTATTATTATTACATATAATTATAAATTTATATGAGTGATTTAATTATAAAAAGATCATTATTCATGTATATTTAGTATACATGTACACTATATGTTAATGAACTATACTACACCTCGTTCTTTTTTCTTATATTTGCTGAATTAAAATAGTTTTGTTGATTAGAACTTATTTAACTAATTTTCTAATATATACTCTTTTTTTTTTTGAGTTACTAATTTTTATTGATAAATAAACTAAAATTTATTTCAATTAAGTAAGCTCTTTTTAAAAAGTTTTTTTTTCTAAATTAAATAAATTTTACGGGTACTGAACCGGAGTTCAGGTGAATGCCTAATAAGACTATTATGTACTCGTTTGTGTGTTTTAAATAATAAAAGTTACGGAGTATATACATACTCCGTATGATGCATTCAATTCACCTGGTTTTACTTATATTATTTGAATTTATGTTTATCTTATTTTAACTCATCAACTTACCTAAATCTATCGTGCCTTATTACTTAGGCAACTCGCTTTTATTTATCTTTAATTATTTATCATAATTTATTTCAATTATATACTCCTAAAGTAATCATACTTGAATTATCAATTATTATGTGAACTTATCTCAAACTCAACGACTTACCTAAACTTATAATGCCTTGTTACTTAGGCAGCTCAGTTTTATTAACCTTTGTCATAAATTATTTTAATTAATTATTAACTCCTAAAGTTATCTTATATAAAATTTGAATTTACAACTTTTATGTGAATTTATCAAAACTTGCTATTCTTTGAATAAAGTTAATGGATGATAAAATAGAACAATACAGTGTCTTACCATTAAGCTTTTTGCAACTAATAAGTATACCGGCTAAGATTCAATCCCAATGCAATCAAGCATTGTAGTATTTTCACCCAAAATTTATATGTAGTATGTTTTAATTAGGGGTTTGTTGTAATCATCTTATTTTCACTTATTTAGGTCTAATAAGTCCAGTTCAGAAAAAATAAAGGTCTAATAAGGGTTATCCAATTTCAAATTACAACTGAAACAAGTTTTAATAAGTTTAGATAATTTCGATTGAGTCCAGATAAGTGTAAATCAGGTGAATAAAAACACATCTTATGTTTTACAAGGTCTAAGAGTGTGTTCTTTACATTTTACAAATATAAGTTTTAGGGTATGTAGATAAGCTTTTTATAATCAAATCCTATCCATTAGGTTATGTTGAGTTCTAAGAAGTTTATTCTCTCAAATCCATACTCTTGTAATTAAGTCTATTCAATTTTAGTTTTGCCTAATAAGTACCAACTAGGTTTATCCATATTCAATAAGTTCAAATAAAGACTATCCAGATCTAGTAAGTTAGGCTTTGTTTGGTTCATTGTTAGTAAAGGAAAAGAAGAGAAAGGAAAGGAGGGGAAAGGAAAAGAAGGAATTTTTATTTCCAATGTTTGGTAAAAGAAATGTAATGAAGGGAAGAGAAAGGAAATATGCTTACATTTTCTCTTTCGAGTCGAATTCCTCCAAATTTGGGAGGAAAGGAAAGCTTGAAATTTGTAAAGAGACTTTCCTTTCACTTCCCTTCCTTTCTTTTAAATTTTTATGTCATTCATCAAACCAAACATGAGAACATATTAAAACCTTTTCCTTTCTTTTCTTTTCCAGCCAAATTACTTCAACCAAAAACGGCTTTAAGGTCACATAAGTTAACATCAATTAAAGTGAAGATAACTCACCATCAGTAAGATCAATTATAGTCCAATTGTATGCTCCATTCATATATTTTTGGTTTTGCTCTTCCTTGGTGAACGAACGAGAAGAGCAAACAACTTGAAAAAAAAAAAAGGAAAAAACGCTACAAATTTAAATTATTGTTAAGATCTTGTGTTGCAAATGCTAACACTTTACACTTATTCCAGTATTCACACCTGCGAAATTCTCTCCTTTTTTTTGTTTTTTTTTTTCTTTTTAATATAGTGGCACTATGATTTGAGTTTTTGTCTTAGAAAGAACTATCCATGAATTCATGTCGCACGTGGTTTCATGGTCAACAAGTTCAAATTATTTCACTAGATTTGTGATTAAGAGAATACCACCGTTGTTATTACATTCTCTAACTAAGATGCTTGTATTAGCAGATGGATTACAATATAATTGTCTTTTGTATGATTGTCTTCCAAATCTACCACACAATGTACCAAAAATCTTAGTTAGAAAATTTAAAATGTATATGTCTAATAATGAAAAAGAATACATAAGCATCAACAACTGGGTTAAGAAAACATAAAGTGAATCTTGACGAATCAATCAAATGTGTAAAGTCAAACCATGAACTTTTACAACACGTACCATCACGTGATCTAGTGACAAAGCTTTATATAGAGACCGGGAACATACAAACAAACAAGAACATTATATTGGGAATAAAATAATAATTATCTAAAAGCCTAGTATTAATTAAAGGTCAAAGTTATGGATCAACCTATTTTCCATCAATTTAGTGGATGAAGCAAAAGGCTATTAGGCATAATTCAACTCAAGACAAGTTCTAATCATAGGTGTGATAATTCCATAATCTTATAAACAAGATAAATTTGAGTAATAATTATCAATTTATACACATACCATTGTTGACTTTTTTTTATTCATTTTAGCAACATTGACTTTTCTAGTTGGTTAAAATTTTAAAAGATGATATCCAAAACACGAGATCAAATCTCATTTACATCTCTCTCTCTCTTTTTTTCTATACACCAATTTTATTTTATTTTTATTTCAAAATTTGTTAATAGATTCCCAGCCCAAAGTCATTGTGCTTTAAAATGAAGAATGAAGATATAGCAAGGCCCAGATGAGCAGAAAATCTGCCTATGGTGGCCCTAAGTAGAGGGCCACAAAGGGCGGGTTGAAAATCAATCCTAGAATCTCTAACCAATTGAGCCATCTCTCACTCTCACAATGTTAAATTGTTAATTACGGAGTAGTCATAAACCAAGCATTTCAGCCATGAAAGCATGAAAGGAGTAGAATAGGTGCATCTCCCTGCTCCATTGATAAACATACACAAATAGATGTAATTAGAGAATGTCAAAGTATCAAGTATTAATAACTACAGCCTTTATCCACGAACAACAAATTAAGAAAATTACAGCTTTAGGAAAATCATTATCACAGTGATCAAATGCGAAGTTCTACATCTTTCAGTCTTTCACAATTTTATTCCTGGGAAAAGGAGATTGACCAAAAAAGTACTTGCTACAGCTATATTATCTGCATTATCTTGCTTTTTCAAGGGTGTGATCAACGAATGGACTCACAAGGCTGCTCCCAAAGTTTCTGATATTTCCATGGAAGATTTCATCGATAGAGCTCAATATAAACTCATTTGCACATGCAAAAGTGATTCAGCTCCATATATAGAAGAAAATCATGATCATTGCTTGTGGGCCTGATGAACACGGATATTCCTCCCGTCCAATACCTGTTTGGCAGCAGGAATGACAGGTTCACGATCTTCAGTTGCTAGATATGCAAAATGAAGTGAGCCATTGGACACTAACCTGACCATCCATTTCCTTAAGAGCTGATGCAGCACCATCTTCAGAAGTAAACTTCACAAATCCAAATCCTCTTGATTTTCCAGTGACATGGTGACAAATAACTCTTACTAGAAAACACATAATCATCAATCAGCAATAACATAACAAGTAGAGAAAAAAAAAAATAGTTCAATACTATAAACTTCAACAGTAGTATTTAGTACTATAATATTACCTTCAATAATTTCCCCATACTGCATGAAAGAATCTCGTAATACAGTTTCATTCGTATCATAAGAAAGCCCTAATCACAGAGGAAGAACATGATTGAAACCTGATAAGTCAATAACAATTTTCCATGAGAATAAAAAAGTGTACATGAACTAAACGCAACCTAAGCATGATATACGTGCTTCTGGAGCCATACACGCAGGTAACAACAATTCACATAAAGGATTGGTTTGCATGCAAATTGGAGAGGTGGGAATTGGGAAGGACCGATAGATGAAGAAGCATAAGGGGAAGAATCACCTCCAACAAACAAATTTGTACAGGCATTACGAACCAGCTGAAGCATTGCAGAAGGGTAGGCTATACGCTCACAACACAGCATTCTGGTCAACATTATTCTGCTTAGATAGTGGAGAAAATCAGAGTTGTGTGCTTCAATTCACTGCCAAATGAATGGAAAAAAAAACATTATTGCCTTGCAAATGAAACACAAAATCAAACAGTGGAGCATGAAATGCAGCCCTATTCTATAACTTTGAGTTCAGAGCGAAAGTAGCACTTTTTTGATATTACATAGAATGTGCAATTTTAATGTCCATGCAAATGCAGATCAATCACCAAGTAGCTCTATTTTCTTCAAATTTCGATTCCAACTAGTTTTCAATCAGTAGTTACCAATCTTTAACATTTAGAGAGGGTAGGTAAATCTCATGAAACTATTGGTCAAGGTATAAATCATCAGCCCCAATACACAAAATATATGATTGTCAAGGGCAGTATAGAACTAAATGAAGTAAAACCCAGAGCCTAGGGACAGCAAAGTATTCAAGCTCCTACTGCAATTACAAGGATGGTTACAGAACTCAGAAGTCGAAATGTTGATTCAATCTTAGACGGACAACATAATTTATAAACAATCTGATATAATTATAAAATTAAACAGAGAGTTTCAACAGACCAACTAAAATTAAAAGCGCAAAATCATGTAGCAAACTTTTATAATTTTAGAGACAAACCCTTGACCAGACCAGCAAAATCAGAGGGGGGGGGACCTTTGTAAGTTGCACTGTTTTCAAATTTTCATGAGGTAGGTCTCACTAATAAGAAACCTAGAATGAATTTTTACCAATCCAAATTACTTGCTTACAGACCGCCCTCGTGCAGTCTCTAGGCCTACAAACGTATCCTATGATCACTGTCTTGGGACATATCGATACTACTAGCATAATCTGTTCTATAAAACTTCCTATATCCTCAAAAGGTTGAAAACTAGACTTTGAAAGGATCCTAAGGGAGGATATGGGAAAGAGACTAGTATTACCACTGTTACGTATTGGTTGATATGAAGTATTCCGGTAAAAAGGTGATGGAAGTCTCGAGCTTTGAGCATTGAACCAAAATGCCAAGTATAAATTAGCCTCATCTCACTAGCACGCGCAGAGGAAAGCAAGAACCTCAGTGGAAGCTTTGTATCCCTTCGAATCCCATCCATATTAATAAATCCTTACCATCCACATTATAACAATACTAACAAGATGACTGCTTGAATAAACAGGTTAAAGGACATAGTCATGCAGAATGAGTATTCAAATTACTTGACAAAAATTAATAGATATCACCTAATTAATGATGCTTCCAAACACCCTTTAGAAAATAAACAATAACATTTTTCATGATCAACAGATTCACTTAATTCCAGCAAGTAAGAACATGAGAACATGATCAATGAGTAATAGGAGGATTGGAGTAAGAATAACAATAACATAACTATTTCTGCTAGACATTTCATCGAACATGTGGCAAGCATTATCCAACTTACAAAAATGAACGCATCAAACCTATCTATCCACAAATCAAATCAAACCATAATTTAGGATTTGCTATCAAATTTCTGCTTGAGTACGAAATTGCAGCTTTCAATAACAAATTTGTGTACGTGCATATAATTACAGACTTTACAGTAGGGCAGTGTTGAGCCCATTCTATCCAACAAATTGAGTAAAAAGGTTACCTGAATTGCCAGAAGAAATAAAAAGGTGGAGAGCAACTTCGAGTCGATGGAGATGAGATGAACTGTTCTGTTCTTTGTTCTTCTCCTCTTGTTTCTGTTTTAGGAAATAAATGATCAAAGGCCAAGCCAAAAATAGTTGTTGCCCAAAACCTATAAAATTAGATCGGGCTTAATAGGTTTTTAGGCCAACCCAAAAAAATTCGAAAGTAACTAAAAAAAATTAGAAATGCATGTCCAAGTCCCGTTGAATAATAAAAATTAGGGTAATAATATATGTAGTCATTTGAGTTATTTATAAGCATTGAATGTACTTTTTAAAATGGAATTAAGTTGAGAATTTATGACAAAATTTTGCGCAAATCAATGTAATTAATGTAACCTTATCCTAAATATTTCCTTTTTAGCTTCTTATAGAGCTATGTTTATCATTTTCCTAAGCATTAAAGAAAAATGTTATGCGGGTTGAAAATAATTATACCTAAAACTAGGTTGTCCTAATATGATCAACTCTATTTTCAATTAATAAATGTGATTTTTTTTATTTTTATTTTTTTGAAAGCAATGTGATTTTACTAATAAGGTTGTTGGAATGTCCTAAATTCGGATCAGGCTAATCTAAATGGAATTAGATCTTAATTAATATATTTATAAAACAAGTAATATCACTGTGAAACACTAAAAGAAAATCAATTCAAGTCATGAATAGATTGTATTACCTAATTTTTCTCTTTTCTCTCTCTAGGTTTTTTTTTTTATTTTTCTTAGTCTTTTAGGCCGGAAATAGTTTAATTTTTTCGGAAATTAGACTATTTCTGACCATTTTTCTTTAATTTAATTCGCCTATTTGTTATTTGATTTGTTTTGTTCTCTCCGTTTGTGAGAGTTTGTCCCAATTTTTTGGGGGGTTTTCCCAAATTTCGGGATTTTGATTCTCATTTATGGATGAGAATTTTATTTTTAGGGTTTTAATAATAATTGGAATTGTGATTTGGATTCAAATGGGTTTGGGGTTCGTCATCAACTCTACCATCAAACACATCAGCGTAGATTGCGAAGGTCTCTACTTGGAAAGATGTAAAGACATCGAAAATCACTGATCGCGTCAAGATTGAAGCGGTAGAGTGTGAGCTATGCTCGATATGCAAAATAGTTATGATTTTGATTGTAAAAGTTATGTTATTTACTCTTAATCTGTAGTTTACATATCTTTATTGTTATTGTAGATGTCGTATGCGGTAATGCCTATTTATTAACAATAATATTATTGTTTTATGTAAAAAAATAAAAAAAAGTCATGAATAGATGGTATTGTATTATGTCATTTACTTGTTTAACAGATGTACTCGTATTTTGTATTTATCTTGTAAATTTTTTATAGCTATTTCTCCATATTTCTTTCAAATGTGTGCGCGTGTGTATTTGTTTTGATATTGTGTTATATATATTGTCATGTCATATGCTAAGTTGCACAAGAACAGGTACGGACACGGATACGAGTACGAAACAGATACGGTAAAACGTCTATTCCAAAATAAGGGACACGGGTACGGAATGCTAATATTCATAAAATATACTTTAAAAAAGATTTTGACCATGTATTTGTCATTTTATCCTCTCATAATATTAAATAGTATCATATAACAATATGAAGGCACCCATATTATTTAACAATTACCTTATTTATCTTACTCTACTTAAAATATCTTAACAAAAAAAGTTGAACAACCTATATCATAGTAGGATACGGTTCGAGACGTGTCGTCGTGTGTCCCACGGGTGTCGGTATCTTACACGGTGTCCGACACGGACACGACAATTGGATGAAGTGTCCATGCATCCTAGGTCATATGTCAAGTGCATTATTAACATGGCAAATTATTAGATTATTATTGACAAGTTGGACAATGACATTCTAGGCAATACTAAAGGTTATGGCTTTAAGACATAAGAATGACAACTGAAAGTCTGAAAAACAAATGAGGATCTTTATTTACCAATATTATCTTTAATCTTATTGGTCGTTGGTGTGAACAAGTGTTAACAATTCCGTGGATTGATTATGCAAATCTTAATTGATTTTGTTGCATTATTGTAAATTCGTATATGTTTATTTTCAAGTTTCAACTAATATTAACACTAGTACCTGAACCCTCCAATACTTCAAAATCTCATCTCCCACTATGCTTAGAGTTGTTATAGGCATTAATAATACACATCGATCTTTGATACTTCATTATTTAATATAAATACAAATATAAAGATATTATAAATACAAAGAAAAAGATATTCAGTGCAATTTTGATTGCTTTGTTTACTAGTGTGAACTTCTCATCACGCTTTTTCCACGTGGCATTTAACTCTCATCTGTTAGAGTCAATCATGTATTCAAAGGCGTACCATAAAGAGTGATTTAAATAAATTTAACCGAGCACACATGTAACACAAAAAAAGAACGATGGTAATGTCACTGATATGTCATATTCATATAACTTAAAATGCTTGTGACTTGAACATGATAATTCTTAGATTGGACTTGAGGATTTAGTAGCATAAATTGATATGTTTATTGGCTATGCGATTATTGTAAATTTTTACCTAATTGATTGAGGAAATTAGTGGACAAAAACACAAAACTTGGGATTTGCGCTCTGATATTTGAGTCAAAGTTACCACTCACTTATACTCTGTATTAACAAAAACATTACTTTTCTACATTGAATAATTAAAATTGTACATAAACAAACACATCAATCAAACTATTGCGATTATTCTTTGTTAAATTAGGTTTAAAGTATTCTCTGTATTTCTCATTCATATAAACGGCCACATACAAAAGTATATATAGAGTGGGATACTTGGAGGGCAAGGCCAAGATAACCTAAAGATAATCACAAAATATATTCACAATATTTATCTTCCTAATACCCCCCTCAAGTTGGAGAGTACGGATCTCGGACACCCAACTTGCGAAGTAGAAACTCAAATTTAGCTTTTCCCAAAGCTTTTGTAAAAATGTCAGCCAACTGAACCGTCGTAGGAACATACGAAGGTATAATCGTCCCATCTGTAATTGCATCTCGAACAAAATGACAATCTGACTCAATGTGTTTTGTTCGCTCATGAAACACTGGATTCTGCGCAATATATAATGCAGACTGACTATCACAATAAAGGTGCATCCCATTCTCATGTCGAACACCTAAATCTCCAAGTAGGCGCTTCAACCACTTTAATTCACAAGTCGTTGCATTCATACAACGATATTCTGCTTCTGACGAAGAAAGAGCCACCGTAGGCTGCTTCTTGGTTTTCCATGACACTGGAGACAAGCCAAGAAGCACAAACCAACCACTTAAGGATCGTCTGGAGAGTGGACAACCTGCCCAATCTGAATCACACCAACCTTATAACTGTAATGCACTATCAGATCTCAATAAAATACCCTGTCCCGCGCTTTTCTTTAAATATCTAACAATTCGCAAAGCTGCTTCCCAATGATCAATCATGGGTTTCTGCATAAACTGTGACAAAATGTGTACAGAATATGCTAAATCGGGTCTCATAACAGACAGATAAATTAGTCGTCCTATGAGGCGACGATATTTCTCAATGTCATGAAAATACTCTCCCTGGGATAATGCTAACTTGTGATTTTGTTCCATAGGGAACTCTGCAGGTTTAGCATCAAGCAAGCCAGCCTCAGTAATTATATCCAGTGCATACTTCCTCTGGCAAATAAAAAATCCTTGTTTATTCCGGGCTACCTCTAGCCCCAAAAAATATTTCAACACTCCAAGGTCTTTCATCTTGAAATAATCTCCCAAATATGATTTAAAACTGAGCATAGCATTTTTATCGTTGCCTGTAACAATTAAATCATCTACATATACCAACACATTAAGCTGAATTTTACCCTTTGTCAGAGTAAACAAAGAATAATCATAATATGACTGTTTAAAGCCATAATTTTTCAAAGCTGTAGCAAGCTTTGCAAACCATCACCGAGGGGCTTGTTTAAGCCCGTACAACGATTTCTGCATCCTGCAAACTTTGTCAGAATTATCTTTCTCAAAACCAGGGGGAATTTTCATATATACCTCTTCTTCCAAATCACCATGAAGAAATGCATTATGAACGTCCATTTGATGAGCTTCCCGATTTTTCACTGCAGCTACTACAAGAAAGGTTCTCACAGTCACCATTTTTGCCACCGGAGCAAATGTCTCGTTGTAGTCTAATCCTTCAACCTGATGATTGCCAAAGATGACTAATCTTGCTTTCAATCTCTGCAAATTCCCATGCTCATCGTATTTTTCTTTGTACACCCACTTGCTTCCAAGTGCCTTTTTACCCGGTGGTAGCTTCTCTAGTACCCAAGTACCCTGTTCTTCAAGTGTTTGTATCTCATCTGCCATTGCCTTCCTCCAACCCTCGTGTTTCATAGCCTCCTTGAAACTTTTGGGTTCATGTCCTCCTGTAATGGCAGCAATATATGTTCTATGCTTCACAGAAAACCGGTGAGAATCAATAAAATGTGTTATAGGGTAAACAGTACCTGAGGAAAGTGATGTCGCAGGTGAACTCTGAGATAATGTAGATGGACTTATATTTCGGATCGTGTGTGTCACAAAGTCACGATGCTTTACATTCGGAAATTTCTGTCTCTTGCCTTTACCCAAGGCCTCGGTGTCCCTTGTTGCATTACAATCTATCTCACATTGCCCATTTTGAGCTTCTAGGCACTGATGTTCTACCTCGGTTTGCGTGCTGCAATCACCCCCTCCTCCCTCGGTTTGCGTGCTGCCAGCACCCCCAGCAGCCCCCTGCTGCGTGCTACCAGCACCCCCATCAACTCCAGCAGCCGCAGCAGCCCCCTGCTGCGTGCTACCAACACCCCCATCAACTCCAGCAGCCGCAGATGATGCAGCGTGCTGGTAAGGGAGGTGGGCAGTCTCCTCCGCGACCTCCATGCGGTCTGGAGCTGCCTGCCGCAGGTGGGTTGTGGAGCTTGTTGCCTCCCTCTCCACCCCCGTATCTTCACTCACACACTCCCCTCCATCATGACGCACCACTCATCATCACTATCCCCAACATCTCCACCACTCACACTCACCTTTATGGGCTTCTCACTAGGGGCAATAAAAGGAAAGTCGGTCTCAAAAAATGTCA